GGAGTTAACGTAATTGACACCTTGGAGGCGAAGAGCCGCAGGCGCGCATGCGCGCTCGCGAAAGCAGTCAGCAGACAAGGCTCCGCGCGATCGATGAAGGAACGCCGACGCGCACTCTCCGCGCGCGCTTGCGAATAAATAAATATGAAAATTAGCCTGGCTAATTCGCGCGGCCACGCTCGCGCCGTCTGGCCGAGGGCTCTCGGCGGCCCTTCCGAAGATGAGCCAGCGCTCTCGTTCACCGATTGTTTTTCACTTTTTCACTCGCAGCGCTCGCTAATATTATCGCGCGACCGACTCTCTCCAGCGCTATCGAGCTTCGGCGTATTAGCGCGCCACCCAAAATAACTGCAGCCGCTCCCGAGCGCCTCGTTATTTTGGCCACCGGACTCCATGCAAACACCACCTCGCTGCGCCAAAGGCTATCCTCGATAGCTTGCCGAATAACTGAATAATCGCGAGGACCATTTGCCGAGGGGCGAGCTTGCGCGCCTGTTACTGCGCGACGCTCCGAGAATACGAAAAGAGCACCAACCTGAATCTGATGCGTGGGATTGTTGATGTGGAGCTGCTGCGCTTGATTGATCTGAATGTTGGCAGCTTCGGGCCCGGATGGCGGCCTCGGTGGTGTCGAGCTGTTGAAGCCCCCTTGTGCGCCTTGACCACCAGCTTGCGCCTGCGGCATTCTCGGCGGCAACGGGTAGCCCGGACTGCCGTGATTGGGCATCGCCGAACCCGGACTGCCGTACGGCGAATACTGCTGCTTGTAGGCAGTTCCACCAGCTCCGAGAATATTAGCTTTGTTTCGCTGCCGCCTGCTGCTGCTGATGCTGATGCTGCTGATGCTGTTGCTGCTGCTGTTGCTGCTGTTGTTGCTGCTGCTGCTGCTGCTGCTGTTGCTGCTGCTGCTGCTGCTGCTGCTGCTGCTGCTGCTGCTGCTGCTGCTGCTGTTGTTGTTGTTGCTGCTGCTGCTGCTGCTGCTGCTGTTGCTGCTGGCGTTGAGCGAAAACGTCGGGTTGAAAGCCGCCGTTGTTCTTGTAAAACGGTTTGGTAATTGTCGGCAGCGTTGAACTGGTCGGCGTAAGGCGACCGTCGTTGACCGAAACCAAGAGTCTTATGCTGATGTTGTTCAGCCATCTGCTTGAGCGTTTGAGCCGCTGGACTGAGGCTTTCCGACAGATACGGCATCCTCGAGTACATCGGTTGTTGCATCGCCTGATCCTTGTCATCCTCGATCTTTACTTGGGTCTCCAGCGGCTGCTGATGCTGTTGCGGCTGCAGCATTGACGGCATTTGCGGTGGCTTGACGTCCTGCTCGAAGTCCAGGTTGTTAATAAAGCTCGGATGAAAATCCGAAATCTCGGATAAGATCTCCTTGATGGTGACGTCGTCAGGAACTTTGAAGCCACCTTCGAAATCGAAGCTCGGATCCTTGTCCAGCGCGGCGGCACACTCATCCAAATCAAAGTCATTTTCCGGCTCCTGTTTGCATTCCACCAGACTACTGATGATGTCCGCCGAGGTCGGCGCCGTCGTGCCAGTGGCCGACTGCACGTTATTTGGCGTGCTCGCGCTCGAGCCGTTAGCTCGGCTATTGTTCGTCGCCGGCGTGTTCGGCTCGCTTTTCGGCGACGCCGTGGCATTAACCAGGTCGCTCTTCACCGACGCGTTGGTCAGTGCTTTCACCGTCACGTTCGTCGAGATTTGCTGAGCTTGCGAGTTGGCCGCCGACGTGGTGAACTCCAGTTGTTGAACGATCTCGACGCTGAATTTGGTGAGACCCTCGGTCGCGGTGCCCGTCGCACCTGCAGTCGTCGTGCTGCCTACGCTGCCAGGTACACCTGCCAAACGTTCGCAAGACTTTTGTTTTGTTGGTCTCGTCATTGCAACTTGTGCGGCGAGTATCGAGTGTATCGCCGCGCGAGTTGTTTGCAAAGCTAATGAGATTGAAGTTTCGCTTTGTAAGGGTAATTTAATTTGTCGCTGGCTGTAATCCCATTAAAATACCGTGCGATTGATATACCTAGGCTCGATAGGAGTGTCCTAAGAAATTGTGCGACGTTAGCGCATTGCCTCCCTAGGAACGTCCGTCAAAATGACACATTCAATGCTGCCAATATTTTGCTAGTGGCGGTTTACGAACTATTGTTCATCGAGACAGTTAGCAGAGCAGACGATGGCAGAATTAATGGTAAAATTAATGCAGCCGCGCGCGAGTTTGATATTTTAACGGAGGAGGAGGAGGAGGAGGAGGAGGAGGAGGAATATGTCAGCGGTGTAATGCAAATGATCGATCATATGACGAGGAAGAAAGAAAGAAAGAATCTGACAGAGTGAAGAAAGGACAAGTTTATCCGATGAATTTAGCAAGGTAGTAGGCTACAGCTCCGAGAGAGCGATGCCAAATAGGCACTCGCGTTTGGGAACGACTGAAAAGACATGACATTTTTGCTTGCGGCTCGTCGACCGAAACAACAGAATCTTCAATTCGGAAATTGGCCAATATCGCGGCGACTCGCGAGGACAGCCAATTGTTTTGCAATGCCAGATACGGCCGAAAGGAAAGACATGCTCACCTTGCGAACCAGGTGCCTGTTGTGACTGCGGTCCAGCCTGGCCGGCGGTCGCGCCACCTTGGGCACCATTGGGTCCCTGACCCGCAGTTGCGCTCGTCGATTGAGTGCATTGCAGCTTGACCGAAGGCTCGCCGAAGCCGCCCGCCTCCGCACCGCCCCCACCGCCGCCGCCGCCACCACTCGACTCCAGCTCATCAGCCGTCCTCTTCAGGAATTTTTGTTGCTGCAACACACACACACACACACACAATTCACAGTCGTTTCATTTCAAGGTTAATTCTTCTTTTCGCTCGCTCGCTTTCGTTTCTTTTGCTTTTTCCCTCGCTCGCCCTTTTTGCACGATTGTTTCTTGAAAACGCGAGCGGAGAGTCTCCGCGAGTGGTTGCGAAAGGCGCGCGCGTTCCTCCGGTGCAACGAAACACAAGAGCACCTTCGTACCCGTCGCTATTCATCAGCGCGTTGGCGACGATCGCGCGCTGCTTTAGCCTTTCGTTTATCAACAACTTGTTTCACCATTAGTGCCATTGAGGCAGCACCACTGGCGGACAACTGGAACAAGAGTCGCAGCCATTCGAATACCGAGCGCTGTCGCACGGACCTCGCGCACCAAGTAAAATCAACATTGCCCTCCACACGTGCACGAGTTTGTCCAGGCGCGCGGAGAGCAAGCAAGAGAACAGCACCACCTTCACTCGTCGTCCAACCTACCATCATTCCAGACCAATCCCAAGAAGGACAAAAAGGACGAGAACGACAAAAAGAAAACAATCGGAAGAGGATCAGGAGGCGACGAGACTGGCAGAATCTCAGCGACCGATCGACGAAAGCCTCAACGACCGTGCAGTACTCGTTGACGGTTGTTTGGCTTTCGGCAGGCCATCGAGCGATCGACCAACAACTTGAGCGGCATCGTGTTTGCTTTGGCGGCACTCGACCGAGCCAGCCCGATGGCGGAACGGAGCTTGCGAGAACAGCTGATCGCGGCCCCGGCGAGGGGAAGCGACTGCTGCTGCTGCTGCTGCCGCCGCTGCTGCTGCCGCTGCCGCTGCTGCCGCTGCCGCTGCTGCTGCTGCTGCTGCTGCTGCTGCTGCCGCTGCTGCTGCCGCCGCCGCCGCTGCCGCCGAGTAGTCCGGCACACGACGTGCATCGCACACGAGTGTCACTGGAGCGCGCTTGCGCCAAAGCCACTGACAGCCACCGGGGGGAGGGAGGGAGAGAGAGCGAGAGGGGGGGGGGGAGTCGCGCAGCGGAAAATCGCGACTACGGCCGAAAAGGGGAAAAACACACACTCTCGGATGGAAATTCGCGCGCGCGCGCAGCCGAGCGTACACTGTACTGCCGAGTGAGAGCGACCAAGAGTGGGGATGATGTGGCGCGTGCCAACGCTCTCTCGCTTCGAGCATCTATATCCTAACCAGTGCTGGACAACACGACACGAGCTTGAGAAGAGAGATCAAACGTGAGCTTTTACCGTGATAACCAGCTGATATGCTATAGATTTATGCCCTAGAATTGGATTAAGAAACGAGGCTATTCAATGGGATGTAGTGTGTGATTAGCTGCCAATTACGTATGATTAGGTTTACCATTTGGTTTACGAAGTTGGTTGTGTCTTCGATAAGCAATTCTCGAAACTTTTGAAATTCACGATGTCGTTTTATTGATTAAACTTTTTCAGCTGTACCGATGTTTTCCCCATTTAGGTGTGTATATCATCACAACAGGTGATCGCAATTTTCACAAACAATGTTTGTTTAAGATTAAGGTATATTCCAAGTCATTTAGATTGATAATCAGCTAATAAAACCTAAACTAGGTTCAGCTATGTTATTTAAAAAATTCAGGTTTTTACCAATGGCTAACATGTAGAGAAGTAATTCAATATCTAAAATGTATAATGTCTTGTACCTAGCTCTAAATTTGTAAAATTGCCCAGCGTGGAAAATTCGAAAAGACGAAGGCTAAACAACCGAATCGATAGCATAGTATCTAGTGAGCGGAATGTCGAGCACCTTGCACCTTAAAAGGAACTACCGAGGAATTTCGGTACTGCGGCATATCGATCGACTCATTAGAAAATGGGTGCGCGCGAGCGAGAGAGAGAGGTCCATTTAAAATCGCGCCGCTGGCGCGTCGCGGTGAAAGTCTCTCTCTTGCTCGAGCGTATTGATTTGCGGCCGCGCAGGTGTGGCCCCTTCTCTCCTCCACTAGGCGAGAGTCCTGACCAACCGGCTGTTTACTGTTTGGCCTCTCTCTCTCTCTCTCTCTCTCTCTCTCTCTCTCTCTCTCTCTCTCTTTCTCTCTCGTCTATCGATCCCATGGTGCGTAAAGCTCAGTGGTGGCGTAAGAAGCCGGCGCCGTGTCGCTGACCGACGACGCGATTTGATAATTGGGTCTCTCTGTTGCGCTTTTTTCGGACTGCGCGCGCCCGACTCACTCGCTATATCGCGTGACAACGCTGATATGATAAAACGCGAGGTGTTATTTTTTTTAGGACACGATGACGTACAACTTAGTGAGAAACTTCTTTATCTCATGGTTTGCTTCAAAGGTACACACTTGGATCTGATTATTTTGCTGTAGAGAGAACTTCTTTTCCTGTCATTTATAAAATCGCGTTTTCTGCTTTAGTTCAATTTTTCTTTTATCACGATTTTTTAGTGATGTAATGTTAAATCACATTTCCTTTTATTTTTTCTCGAAAGGCAAAGTGATGTTACGTTATATGAATTCACTCAATTTTAAACGGGTGTACGAAAATATATTCTTGTAGGTAGTAAAAGTAATGGCAGAGCTTACCATGTTTGGTGTATTGCATTTTATTTTATGAGAAAAAAAATTATGTTTCCAGAGAATAGTTTTATAATGGTAAATCAGAAAAAATATGTAATATCAATACAAATGCATAATACATAATGAGAAATTGAGATTGAATTATCTCTCAATTAAGTTTTTATTACTTTCAATAATCAAATAATTTTAATATCGTAAAAATGACAGATATAATTTAAACATTATCTTTCAGACGTCAAAAAATTCAGAAAATACAAGAAATTTCTTTTCAGTTACTTGAATTAAATACAGAAAAATATGCGATCTATTACACCTTGCATTTTTAGCAGATTATAATATCAACGGTAGCAGTATAAAAATGAAATAAAAAGGTATATATAGATTTGGCTTTTTTAACGGAAGGGGCGAGGAAACACGAAGCTGGCTATTAATCGTACACAACAGAAGTCACGTGCGCATGAGTATAGAAAAGCTTGCGTAAATTGGGCGATTGTATGGATCAGTCGGCATTTCAAGTTGGGGAACTGCACACATACATAGACGCACGCCACATGCCCACAAATATGTGGAGTGCCTAGTCAAGAGGATATTTATTAATAGACTTTCGGCTCGAGATCCATTAAGGAGTTCGTAATTGACGTTACACTGTTACTCTACCCATTTGCCTTTGGAATAACATTAAAAAAATCTGACTTATTAATGCTTATTAATTAGTTAACCAATTGAAGTCCAATAATTCAAAAAACTTAACCAGTACTTAACTTGTTTTCAGAGGTTTTTTTGAAAATCAGTAAAAAGCCGCTTGACGTGCAGTTTTTTTGTGTTTTGAAAGTTAAAAAAATTAATTGTCAAAACTTTAGTGAACATGTAAGCAGGTAATGATCTAGTCTAGAACGTAGAAAAAAAGAGTAAGAACTTGATTTGCGATTCAAATGTCGTCACCGAAAGCTCGACATCCATATAAGTAGTAAAGTTTTCTTTTAAAGCGTAAAACTATGTTGAATATATAGGCGTACGACACACACAGACACGATCGCAGCCGAGTATGCTTACACAATCCTTCAGACGCTTCTTGTCGCTTAATCAGTCAAAGCTATTGTATTCAAAGTAGAAAACCTACAAGGTCGACAAACTTGTGCGTAATCGATGTTATTTTTGTTAATTCTCAAACTCTGCCTGATAAAAGCGCACCACTTCCTAACTAACTCTATTGGTGGAATATTTGTTTGCCCTGAATGCATCTTTTTACAAAGTTTTCGGTAGTTTTCAGTTTAAAAATGACAATTTTTAACTTGCGCTTATTTAATACTGTTTTTCTTGTGTAATCTACAGATGGGCTTTTAAATATTTTGAAAATCATTTTCCATCAAAAGAATCTTTGAAAACAATACATGTTATTGACGTTATCGTGTATATTTTTAGCAAGGAAAAAACATCACCGGCTAATCATACATTTGACGACGTGATTCTAGCAAATCTTATCTTAACAACTGAATGAAATATTATGCCAAGCAAGCTCACAATAGAAGAAGAGTCGAAAATTTCAAGTTCGACATGTGATAAGATTCAACAGAAAAAGGCGAGGCGACATTCATTTGAAAAAGCCTGAAATTGGAAAAAATAGTGTGAGAGCTACGCAGTGAGAAGTGGAAGACAGATTGTAAGGTTAACGTTGAGAATCGCTGCTTCTAGTCGTTGCACTAGCATTAAGCGTTGCGAGGCATGTTTGTAGTCCGATTAGTATCGAGGAGCGCGTATACTGCCAGGCTCGCGAACATCAGTTGTCAGCTGCAGCAGCGGCGGCGCGCGCCGTATAGCGAACAATGAGTACGCGAGTGGGGGGGCATACGACGACCAGAGCGACGGGAAGAAAGGCATTCCCCTACTTACTTACGTAGACACGCGCGCAGGCACACACACTCTCACCCGCGGTCTAAACAATTTTATACTTATTAGCCGTTCGCGGCAGAGACGCATGCTTCTTACTCTGCCCCCCTCCTTCCGAAAAACATTTTTTCGGCTATCTCTCCTTATCTATTTGGCAAGCGACTCACTCGCATTAAGACAGATAAATATGTCTGAGTCAGCGCTAAATACTCATTAAGTGAGTTTCGCATTTTTTGTCGCGAGATCGATCACTGGCATAATTGCTCTTTCAATTATCCGAAAAACTACGTTTAGCCTGAAGCGAGTGGTGAGCACGAGCATCCGGCAGCTCAAGATCTCAACATTTTTCTGTCTTCGCTTAATGATCGCGATAAGCGTTCTTTCCACGATTCCATCATCGAACGGAAGAGAGAAAATAACATTCAAATTTCTCTCTCTCGGCACGCGACTGCCTGCGCATCGACGGGAAGGGATTGTACGCGGTATATAAAACGTGCGCCGACGAGTGAGCGAGAGAGAAGCATAATGTCGTCCTGCTGCAATAACCGTTCGTTCTTTGTCCGCTCAGCTGCCTCCTGCGCGCTCTCTCGCCGCGCAGTGGTTCACAATTAAATGTCGACGATGTGTTTTTCACCAGCCGCGCCACGACGATTAGGCAATCGCATGCTCGTCCGGAGTTTTCGTATTTATAAGCGCGATCAGTGACCATCGACAGCCACGGATTTCTTTTTGCGAAGGCCTTCAATTACTTGCTTTTTGCTTCGTTTATTCGATTGGGGGATCATTCTGACGCATTGTGTATAGGAAGAGTTACTTTACGCTCTTGACTGCTTTTTCTCTTTTATCTTGATTTTACATTAGTTTTTGTTTCGTTTTTTTCTTTTTTTTTCCTTTTTTGTTTTGTTTTTTTTTTTTTTTTCAATATCTTCTCTGCTGTAACGATTTAGATTTTACAAGATGCGCTGTGCAAGTTTGCTTTTTCTCTCCTTTTAGATAGTTATTCGCTTAGTTTTTCATTTAAATGATGAGTGTGGGAAAGCCACTCAATTGGTCAATGTAACAGATTTCTTTTTCGTTTTAGTAATGAATTTACATAACTTATAAACAGATTTCTATTCTCGACCACACGGTTTATAATGACCTTTAGAGAGTAACAGTTACTGTACATTTCGCTCGCACGCGGCGTGCACACTGCTGTACAAATGTATATAAGTCGTGGATGCAAGCGAAGCTCCAGAAAACTGAAAAACGCTTGAATCGATCCCCTTTTTCAATTGAAATGCACAAATAAGATCTTTTTTCTCATTCGATATGAGGTTTTTTCTGTTCAACGGATATCTCCTTCTCCCTCGCGATAAAGAAAAAATGAAACGTTCGCGGAATAATCATCGTCGTAATGATTAGGCGGACCCCTCCAGTCTGACTGATAGTAATAAAATAACCGATCACGAAATGTCACGTGGAAAAAGAAATTTCACGTATGCCCAAAACTGGATTTTTTTCTCTTGTCGAATGGCGAAGTAAAAGTGAACGCCCCGATATATAGGTTTGACCTCGGGCGGTAAGCAGTCACGGCAGTAGGAGCGAGCGCGCGATTTTCGAAAAATCTTGGCGCGCCGCGCGCAGGTGCTGTTTATTCCGACGTCACACGTTACGCCAATTGAGAGTCACTGATTAGCGTTGCTCAGCTGCTCTCTTGCACGGTGTGTGCGCGCGCGCGCGCAAGAGCAAGCTGAGGTGACGGCAACAGCGCGCGTTTAAATGACCGATAGCGCAAAGTACCACTGCAAAGTGTTCTTACACGTCATGTTAGACGTGAAATAATAATAATTAAGAAAGCCGAAGAAAGAGCGGAGAACAACCCGCGACGATTGTTTTTGAATTAGAAAGTACTCTAGTAAGCACACATGAAGAAGGATCGGGAGCATAATCGAAAGTCTCTTAGCACTACGATATTGCGAGCTTTTCGTTGTATACGGAGAAAGTCTCGGTGTCGTCGTACGAGAGCGTGTACCTTTCTGTATATAGTTTTTTCATAACTATGCTCACACGCGCACGCAGCGCACAAGTGCAGAAGTGGAGCGCAACCAAATATAAAGCTGCTTAGCCCACGCGTACTCTCGAAAATCGCTTTACAAGGAAGAATTATTGAAAAGCACAATGTTTACTTGGAAGTATGATTCAATCTCTGCTACAAACGTTAGTCATAGAAAGCACTGTGCCGACAATGCCAAACACAATTTAAAAAATAAGAAAAATCCTTGTGCCGATTTTCCCCGTTCTAGCCTTCAAGTCCCCTCCCCTCCTCCTCAAAAAGGACGGCTTTCCCACGTCTCTCTCCTTTCACGAAAAACATTGCACGTACACTGATCCCACTGATCCTCTCTCCGTCTCTCTTTCGATCTCGCTCGACAAAAGCATAGCTACAACTTTTCCGACAGACGCACATTTTCGCACCCACGCATACAAACACGTGATACATTACAAGTAGTCCTTTTTAACATACGAGAGTAAAATAGAAAATAAGAAAAGGGAAAAAGCGCAGAACAGAACGGCACACTCACCAAATGAATGTTTTGCACGCCAACATTGTCGGGTTGCTTTTTCTCTGGTTTCCTCTGCTTCTTGGCCTTATTATCAAGGTATCTCTGTTTGAGCACAAGGGTCTCCTGATTCGAGTGATCGATGTTGCAGTTATAAGACTGCTCGAACTTTGGTTCGACCTCTTGGTGTCGTTTGCGGTAAGTGTCCATTCGTCTCCGAAGCCGGTCAATCACCGCCTGCCGTTTAGGCGTCGACGGGTCACCTAAACCTGGTGCTTGACCCATAATCTGTTGCTGCTGAAGATGCTGCTGCTGTTGATGGTGATGGTCCGAGGTCCCAGGGGGCTGGCGGGGCAGCAGACCCCCTGCCTCCATGCAGCCCAGACGATCCACGGTCAGCTTGGCCTCATCCTCCACTTGTTGAGCCTCTTGCTCGTATGCGTGCTCTGTCTCTGATTCAACGCTATTCACTTTCCGTCTCTCTCACTCTTACGCACTTGCACCTCACCACCAATAGTTGCATAACCTCACTACGAGCGTCGCTTTCCACTCGCTCTACCTCTTACTCGTTGACTAGCACGAGAGCAAGTGAGTTGTGTGTATACGCGAGAGCAACAGAACAACGAGGGACGCTAACGCGACTGACACCACCGTCAGCAGCAAGCGCGAGCTACCAATAACGCAGCAGCAGCTAGCAGCTGCCTATCCCTATCTCTCTCTCTCTCTCTCTCTCTCTCTCTCTCTCTCTCACACACACACACAGCTCCGCTAGCTAGCCGTCTGTGCGGTATACAATGTACTAGTACAGCACAGAAAGTGAAGAGTCGCTGAGAGAGAGAGAGAGAGAGAGAGAGAGAGAGAGAGATAGAGAGACAGAGAGGTTTTATTGGCTCATAAAAAAATACATTGTCAGATTACATAAAAATACGCCTTTAAGTCAGGCGCGAAATTTGAACTTAATTTACGTTTTCTTAATTTGAGATTTACTATTTCTACACATGATAAATTGTGATACTATAAATAAAATATTTAAATTATTCGAAGTTAATACAAAAACAACGGAGTACGGACTATACCTATAAATGTCTAACTATTTTGAGAATTTGTTTAGCTTTGTTATACAAAGTATGTACATTTCTATAAAATATGTTCAATGGAGTCCTCAAGGAGTCCAAATTTACAATCATTATATTAGTAACAATATTTTTACGAAATTGACTACTATTCAGAAAAGAGTGATTACTTCTTGTATTCTATTAATAAAAATAATACTTGTTCATGGTAAAGCTAAATCACGCAACCAAAATCTATTACCATAGAATAAAGATTTTCAAAAAAGAAACGTAGCCATTTTCTTTATTACTCTCCCTTTTGGAATAAACATGCAATCAGATATTTCAATTGGATCATTAATTAACTCGTTATTTTTAGTAGTTGATTAAAGATTAACTACTGTGGGTATAGTAATATTAATGACGTTATTGGCTTATTTAGAAATACATCGCCATAATATATGTAATTGGCTGAGAGGTGGCGAATAGATCGGTGGCGGCATCTGCGTCAGTGAGACACTATTCTCTTCATTTTCATGATACTATATCACTGTACGTAGTTCTCGGTACTATACACACACACACATACACACACACACATGCGCGCGCGCGTCAATCGTTCGGTTAGTGTAGAAGTGAGAGAGAAAGATTGACTAATCGATAGTCCTTTATTTACCTTAAAGCAAAAAACATACAGCTATGTAATAACATAAAATTGTTGGTCAAGGACCTATCACAGTATAGAAAGAGAGAGAAAGAGAGGAGAGAGAGGAGAGAGAGCAAGTCAGTGTTCAACAACCACGCCTTTATTAATGCAATCAATAGACACGCCTCCTTTTGGTTCTCTATCTAATTTTCACATGCAGTGTGCTTTTTGTATTCAGCGACACGCGCGAGAATTTAATGGACGATCAAAAGCGAAACGCGGCATCGTGTAATTAATCGTGTCTCGCGTTTGAACTGTCAAGAGTGCTGCGAGTGCGATAGAACCATAGTGAGAGAGGTGCAACAGAGGAGGTGGTATGTGTATAGTATAAGCATAGCGGCGGTCGGCGCGTGCGTGATGTTTTTCGAGCAGCCGGCGACGACGACGCCTAGTGTCGCACAAAGCGACGACGAAGTCTGCACACTCTAAGGACGCCGCCACCGCGATTGAAAGGACGACAACGACGACAGAATAAACAACACAGCGAAGCAGCAGCGATGTCACCAATGATGCACCGGCTATTCTATCTCATTGTTGCCGTCGCAGCCGCCACCATTGTCCGCGCCGACGATAACAGTAAGTATTATTTTTCATAAATGACCACAAATTTATACACGCGCATTCGCTCATTATAATGCAACATCGACGCGCAACTTCCTTTTCTTTTTGCTTTACGTGCTAGTAGAGGAGGCTGCATTGGAGATTGGAGTATCGCAGGATGCTAAAGGCGTTGAGGCCGGCAGTACTCCACATCTTAGTTGTAGGATATTAGAACCTGCTAGCCATGTCTGGTGGAGTGTCGAGGGTAAAAATCTTACGTCCGTCAAAGAGAATGAGTTTGTTGAGAGGTTGGATATAAAAAAGGCTACCAGGCAAGATAGTGGCAATTACACTTGCAATGCCATCATTTCTAATGTACACGTAAAAAAAATTGTGCATATAAGAGTTATAGGTGAGTAAAGCTGAAATTTGACAGGTTTCATTTGTTTTCCAAAGCCATAGCTAAAGTATGCATGGATGTGTGTGGTTTACAGAACCAGGTGGAGTGAGTTCCAGTGAGAGTGTGAGGATCAAAGCGTTAGAAGCTGTGAACTTAACATGTGATTTCTATGGAGAGCCTCTATCTGACTTCAGTTGGTCCAAAACCAATGATTCTGATAACTTTGAACGTCTGAAGAATATGACAAATTGGGTACAGCTCAACGAAACTCATGTTAAACTGACATTATCCTTCAAGAGTATTACCCGTAAAGACAATGGTACCTACACTTGTAAGGCTAATGATTTTTATGGTGCGGTGACTGCAGAAAGATACCTATTTGTTGTGGATGTTCCTCTGATAAGTATTGACTTTCTGAAGACTGTTGGTGCTGGGAGTATCTTTCTCAATTGGACAGTCAATACTGGCAATGAGCCCATCAAGACCTACTTCATTCAGTATATGAAGAATGGTACTGATACATGGCAGTATGGCAATGAGTTGATCAATGGAGGAAATTCAAGTTTTTTACTTAGGGGATTGGATAAGGGTGCTGCTTATCAAATTGGCATTACTGCTATGAATAAGGTGGGCAGGTCACATACGCAAATTGATCCCAGGTGGATTACTACTTTAGAAAAAGGTATGAAAGTAACAATTTGCTTCATTGGTTAATACTGAGTTAATATTAAAAATTATTTTTGTATATAGACCCAGTGTTCATACCAAAATTAAATGTGAATGGCATGACATCTAGTACCGTGACAATAGCTTGGAATAAACCACCTCCAGAGCTTGCAGAGCATGTTCATTATTACATTATTGTTGCAAGCCACAATAGTCAAAAGAGCGAGGCAGTTGTTCCAGAACCAAACCAGTTGTATTTGTTTGAATATTTAGAACCTGCTACCACTTATAAATTCAAGATTTCAGCTTGCAATGAGTACACTAAGCAATGTGGCAACTGGAGTAAGGAAGTTGAAGTTGAAACATTGGATGGAGGTAAATGCACGACGTTATATTACTATTTTGAAAATTTCTTTTTACTTTATTGGACCAAATTTCAGTACCCAGTGCACCTCAAAATCTGATAGTATCATGTCGTTTCGATAATATCAGTAGGACAAGTCTGATGTCCATAAATTGGGAACCCCCATTGAAACGCAATGGTATTATTAATCAATATAAAATTGAAATAACCGGTAGAGCCACGTACAAAGACGAGAATGGACGCATCAAGACTGAGTATTTACGGCCATTTATCGATCACGTTGACTTTCAATACAATACGTTTAGAAAAAATCAGTTACCTCCCAATACTAATTACACTGTAAGTATAACTTCAACTCCATTTAAAGACAGGAAAGCTTAGAATATAAGCAATAAAACGAATCGTGATACTTCAGATCCGCGTATCGTGTCAAACCCGACAAAGATTCTACGGCGAGGAAGCCGTAGCAAATTGTACGATGCCAGTGACGATACCTGAACGCGACAACGTGAACGCAAGATCATGGCATAAGATTGAGACACAAGGCCGACAATTGTATAAGCTTTACATGCCGCGTATATCGGAGAGAAATGGGCCAATTTGCTGCTGGCGAATATTTGTGATAAAGCTCGCGCCGCAGAAGGCTCTTGCTGATCTGCCGCCTCCCGAAGAAGTTCCTGTATTTTCCTATAATTATGTCTATACCTCACCGCTCGGTGGAGCTTATCTTGCGGAAATGTTTGACAGTAAGAACGTACCCTCGGAAGTATTCATCGGCGATGGTGAAACTCACAATGGTAGTCTTGCCTGCCAACAGTGCATCGGTCTTACGCAGAAGCCTATACCCCTAGTACTACATTTCATTCCAGAGGTGTGTCATTATTTTTAGTTAAAAATGCTAACAAGTTCGATTAAATTATCGTTTTTTAGAATGCAGTAACAGTTGACGCAAACGCAAGTGTTAGTACGCAACTACCAGAAACGACTACGCATCTGAAAGCAGCAAACCTGACGAGGCTTGATAATTTAACGACAGTTGTTACTACGGTAATTCCCGGGGCAAATCAAACTGAAAAGATTGCTCGGAATAAAAGAGAGAACGTAGCACCCGAGTATGAAAGCTTATATCTCACACCTTACGATGGCCTGTTAGATGACAAAGCTAATTATACAGCATTTATAGAAATTATTGGTAAGTTATATTTAATGTGAACATATGCGAAGTTAGACTGATTTGTGGATATAATTCTTTGTTAGTTTACGGAGCTACCAAAGGACAAGTGATGCCAGTTTATAGCAGTTACTTGCCACCTTTGTTCGGAGGTGTTGATCCGAAGCCAGTGATAGCCGAAGACGTTACCACGCTGGGTGTTATTTTACAATTATCCGTCGTACTCATACTCATAATCATTATATTACTTATTACTTTGTGCGTGCTCCATCGATACTCCAAACGTGCTCAGCAACGAGGAGAGGAGATTATAACTCTTAGGAATAGTTTTCGGTAAGGCACTCTTTTTATATTATTGAGCAGTGACTAGGTAAAAACTAGTACCGAGTACCTTAACGTCACTGTTAAAATCTTTGCGTCTAAGTTGAATGTAGTTTCGGCTTCTCGCGATGAATAATATGTACGCACTTGCTGAAGAAAGGCTGTGTAATGTTTATCACCTTCGGCTTTTAGTTGGGTAGATTGGGTATCAGCTTAGAGTAGCTAACACGTAAATTGTGCATGATCTTCTATGTTATAATCTCTATGAAAGGTCAATGTTTTTTATCAACCGCAAGTATTCGGGTGTCGTTATAAAGAAATCAAGTATACGTGAAAACAATTTCTCTAAATTCAGGAAATTTTCATATGCATAGGCATCTCTGTCAAAGCCTACGCGGCAGACATCAGCTAGTGGCGGCGACACCACCAGATATGCCACCGATCCCGAAAAATGACCTATTACAAGCCTACTTAGAACGACACCGTGATTCCGACTATGGTTTCCAGCATGAATTTGAATTACTGCCCGATCGTTTCACTGACCGCACAACACGCGCGTCTGAGATGAGAGAGAACGTTTACAAGAATCGCTATCCCGACATCAAGTGCTACGATCAGACACGCGTACGACTGACGCAAATGGATGGAATTCTTGGCTCTGACTATATAAATGCCAATTTCGTGCTTGGTTACAAAGAACGAAAGAAGTTTATCTGCGCCCAAGGTCCGATGGAAAATACCGTGTGCGACTATTGGCGAATGATCTGGGAGCAGCACTTGGAGTTGGTACTGATGTTAACCAATTTAGAAGAGTACTCGAAAACTAAATGCGCTAAATACTGGCCGGACAAGAGCGAAACTAAAAACTTTGGTGATATAACCGTGGAGCACGTGGGTGAACATCAGTATTCGGACTACGTGGTTCGCGAATTGAAGATGACCCGCACCGGTGAAAGAGACTCGCGTAAGATTGTACAGTACCACTTCCTCGTTTGGAAGGACTTTATGGCACCAGAGCATCCCCATGCTATACTCAGGTTTGTCAAGCGTGTCAACGAGGCTTACTCGCTTGAGAAAGGTCCTATACTGGTACACTGCAGTGCTGGAGTCGGCAGGACTGGTACACTTGTGGCACTGGATTCGTTGATGCAACAGTTGCAGGAGGAAGGACAAGTGTCAATTTTTAACACAGTTTGCGACTTGAGACATCAGAGAAATTTCCTCGTTCAATCCCTCAAACAGTACATCTTCATTTATCGAGCTCTCATGGAGATGAGTCAATATGGTGACACAGAAATACCGGCGCCACAACTCAAAGCTGCTGTCGAGAAACTCAGGCAGAGGGAGAACGGCAAGGAGAAGTGTCGTATGGAGGAGGAGTTTGATGTGAGTGCTTTCACAGTGATTTTGTTTTTAGCGATTGACCGTGTAAAATTACGTATATATTTTTTTCTTTTAGAAAATAACTGCAGTATTAGAAGATAGAAAATCATTTTCGGTGGGTTGTGGTGAAGAGAACAAGAATAAAAATCGAAGTGAGCAGATGATACCTTATGACAGAAATCGAGTGATTCTAACTCCGATTCCAGGAAAGGAGCATTCTACCTACATCAACGCATCATTTATCGAAGGATACGATAATTCAGAATCATTTATAATAACTCAGGATCCTCTTGAATCCACAATTCCTGATTTCTGGAGGATGATATCCGAGCAATGTATATCGACGATCGTTATGCTATCAGATGTAAATTTTGTTATTTTCTGTTTTACTGATGAAAGACATTTATATTGAGTGGTAGACAAATTAATGAAGAATCTTTATTTTGTAGCTTGCTGAAGGACCCCGAAAATGTCCACGCTACTGGCCAGACGATGAGACGAATCACGATTACATTCGCGTGCGGTATATTCAAAGCGAAAGTTGTCCCTACTTCACACGACGCGAGTTATGTGTCACTAACACGAAGGTCGACGAGAACGTCGTTGTCACTCAATATCAATATAACGGTTGGCCAACAGTCGAGGGTGAAGTACCGGAAGTGACTAGAGGTCTTATTGAGCTCATCGATCAAACCCAAACCAACAATGCTGAGTCAACTGGTCCGCTTGTTGTTCACTGTAATCATGGATCTGATAGGAGCTCTATGTTCGTGGCTCTTAGTATCCTTGTTCAACAGTTGCGTATAGAGAAGAGAATTGACATATTCACTACTGTCAAGAAGCTCAGATCGCAGAGGCATGGAATGATTAGCACTTACGTGAGTACTCTGTTAGAATATATTTTTGGACTTCAGTTCACATGAGAAACTAACAAATTTTCTTCTTTAAAAAATATTTATGTTGCCTGCTATAAGCGGTTATCATTGATTGATACGTCGTGTTTATTAGATTTTAATTTTGTAAATAAACTCCAGGCATCAAGTTTAATTTATTATTTTGATTCAATCGATTTATTTAATTGCAGTAACTTCTAACATGATTAATAAAACAAAGTTTTATCGTCAAAGCCACTAAACAGTTACCTAATATTTTTTTTTTTCTTTCCAGCCCCAATATGAATTTTTGCATAGAGGAATCGTTAACTACTTAGACTTGCATAACCTCGGAGAAGAAAATGAAGCGGAGTCTTAATACCAATAATTGATTTAGTTAACCTTTCGCGGAGCGCGCGCGATCACGAGTAGAATTTGTTCAAGCCTACAATAAGTAAATATTATAGTGCTCTACTCGTACATATTTTAAGATGAACTTTTGCCAAATGATCACACAAAAGATTCACGAAAAATCGTCTTTCCATTCATAAGAGAAAAATTATGTTAAATTTTATTCTTGAATGCGTCGACTAGATGTAAAACGAATAGGTTTAGGACTGAGTTTTATTTTAAGAGTTGTGACTGTTAGATTTACAGTCAAACTCTTGTAACCATAAAATATAACAAGCAAACAAAAATCTCGAAAAAAATTCTTCAAGACTTATTTAAGATAATGAGTAATTATTTATACTCACAAGGAATCTCTTAAAAGAAAAAAATGTATATTTATATTTCTATAAAAGACTTGTAATACAATTGAAAGAAGAAAAGGACAGTTTTAGCAATATTTTAACAAAAAACTGAACTACAATGATATTGTTACAGAGCTTGTTTACCAAAGTATCGATAATCGACTCAAGTACTGGACATCATATTGGTATATAGTGACAAAGCGCATCCTTGACATTTTTTTATGTTCAGAATCCATAGCCGTATATCAGCTAAACACGCATAATTTGATGATTAGGAAAAGGAGTGAAAAATTGACGCGTCAGATTTTTACGCTTTATGGTTGCGTATAGTTTTTGCTTAGCTATGCATCGAGCATAAAAAAATGTAATAATTTTTATACCTTATATCGCACATATAAATCGATTCGACCTCAATCATTAAGAGATTATACTTAGAAATACTGAAACTTTTTTATAAATGTGTAAAAAAAAAGTTTTATCACTTTTGATATAAAGAAAACAAAAATTGGCAAATTCAAAGTTTTTACTACATTTTTTTATATTTCGGTTTTTGTCAAGTCTCGCTGTCGGTGTATTAAGTTCTTTTGTTCGTCAACTTCTAATAATTCATATTAAGCGACTGATTTTTCCATGTCTATTACTTATCGGTCATATTTTTAATTTTTTCTAGTCAAATCATTTTGCTGAATTCGAGATATACTCTCGACTTTTTATCTTCGATTTCAAATTGCATCCAAAGAATACTTAGTGCATTTTGGATACGCTTTTGACTCCGAGAAATCAAAAGCGTATGAATATTGAGTGTCATGATTTTATTCAAAACGACAACGCTGGGACTGTCGAATTTTGTCACTGTAAATTTTTCTTACTTTGTAATTGGAGTTGTACGTAGGAGTTTTTTGTATATACATATATGATCGTATGTGTATTAATTTTATACGTGGCACACGAGCCATTGTTAGCGTGATTTTATAAGATTTTTTAACGATACGTATACTCCCATTTTAACGGCTGTCAAGTTTTATGTAGTTACACGCTCGTTTTAATATAATATATATTATATATATTTTTTTTTCTCTCTTGCTAAGCTTCATCCTTATTGTACGCGCTGAATAATGTGACCCCATTATTATATCTGACTGACGAAGACGGCGGATCGGATTTTTAAGCGGCTTCTCGAAACTTTGTAAATAAAAGAAAAGAAACGAACATTTATACATAAAAATACACAGCAAAGAAAGATAACGAGTGCAGAATTTCAGAAGAGTCTTAGTAAAAAGTAAAGGAAAATCTAACGCAAGAGATACTAGAAGCGATCAACGTTGTCACTTCCTCGGAGCCCCAATTTTTTATAACAATAAATTTCATTACATTAATTTCAATGAGTCTTATTTATTTATATCCATTCATTCCATGCAATAACTTAAATTGCATATATTCAGACACCCCGTCAAGCTGATTTGTTCGAATTCAATTAAACTATGGATCCACGTATGCTACCTTTGCGGTCTGTGTTTGGATTTCTGCGAACAAAAAAGGAATCGTATGATATTATTAATACTTAATGTATTCGTCATTCTTAAGGAAATTGTTATTTCCATGAAATTAATGTAAGTTAATTTTTTTCGAGATAAAATGTTACACGGATAAAACATTCACGAACAAAGTTTTATTCCGTTAACTAAATTGACGTGACGCGCATATCTCTTGATTAAGATAATATTGAACTGAGTATAATTGATAGAAAATGGACGCATAAAAGTCGTGAGCTAAATTATGCAAGCCCCGTAACGTTTGCTTCAGCAAAATTTGTAACTTAGATGTTCTGAAAATGAAATGGAATGTGATTTGCTCACGAACAAATGAGAAATTTAAAATAGGAATCGGATGTGTTGTTTTTAAAATAATTGCTTGTTCAAAGGGAAAGAAAGTTGCCAAAGTTGTAAATTGACGAATAAGATCGCACAATATCCATCTAATATTTTCATTTAAGTAGATCTAATTGATAATAGAGCTACCGCGAGCGCGAGACTCAACGAATTATCAAGCAGTCAAAATTGAACCTACCTTTTTGATATTTTGATTGTAAGCGTCAATGGCTTCGGTAACAAAAGCAGTAAGATGACTAAGCTCGTTACGAAAATTGGTCCTGGAGGTGGCAACGAAGGGAAAATGCATCATATGTAAGAATCGCGGATAGATAAACATGCTGAATATGAAGAAAATAGCCATGCCGATAAAACTGCTCACACCGGTGATGATGTGGTTCATAATGCCATTGTTGCTCGACTCTTTTTTCACGTGGTCTGTTATCGTCGTCGCCGCGTAGGCCGAGTCGGGCTGGAAAATACATTTGATGTGATTTTCAATGGAGTGCCAAGTTACAATCGTGCAGGGCGTGGTTGTGTTAGATATCGAGCTTGCATAAGTGAGCCTTAAAATCTAATTGAGATGGCCATGAAAGCAGTGCAAATCCAAACGAGATGGACATGAAAGCAGTGAATCGAAAGACTGCATGCAAGAACAGATGATAACTGATAATGTATTAAGAATAGAAACATAAATATCTTGGATTGAAAATACAAGATTGTGCTTAAAATGTGTTGGCACTGAAAAAACTGACGCTCACCAAGGTATGGTATCCGTCGGATACAACAGCAGGAAAGCCAGCAGTCTGTTTCTCAAGTTCGTGGCGGAAACTGTTCAGAGGGTAAAAGTAGTAGGCATAATTGGAGCCATAAGTAGGCTGTTGAACTCTCAACGCTGGAACAACTTTAGTCCTGTCGAAGCTGTACTCGGCATTGTTGTGCTTCACGGAGACACCAGTCTGCAGTGCCTTTCGATACATGGCTGCTAATTCGGCTGCCGTGAAGCCCAAGAGCATCGGTGAGGCTTGCGGCGGCTGCGGCGGCTGCGGTGGCTCCGTCAAATACGTCGACGGCGGCTTTCTTGCTATTTGATGCTGCATCATCGCCGGTAGTATGATTAGTAATCTTTTCCAAGAATAACGCTTGATCGCGCGCGTGAACCTCTGTGCTTCGCGTGATTCTATGCACAGTTTCATTTCATTCGCTGTTCGCTTTGGCCACTAAATACGGCACCGTGGCTTCCTCAGCATTCCATTCGACTTTCGAGAATTTCCTTTTTACATTGCTCGCCTGTACGTTAATAATTGTACAAATAATCTGAGTAGGCTGACAAAGCATCACATAAAACAACGACCTATACGGCATTTACCGTTGCGCTAAAACCGTCGCGATCTCACTTGATGTCTGTTCGGTAACTGTATAAATTGCGAGTGAGTCGCGGAAACAAAACAATAACTGCTGCCACGCGGAGGAAGACACCGCAGACGCAGGGAAACGCGGTATCCTTGAACTTACCTGCGGCAGCGAGGCGCTGGCCGCTGACTCGACGCTCGCCTCGCCGATGGTCGGTAGCTCCTGGTCGGTCGGGTAGGATACACGGGTACTTCTGTCCGAGGGCACGAGGCCGTTGAGGAATTGTAACTCTTCGACGACGTTTCGCAGGTACAAGTCACTGGTTTCCTCGCTCGCTCGCACACTGCTACTCGCGACCAGCGCGAGCAGCAACAAGGTCACCAGGACACTTTTCATCGTGGTTCAGTCGAAAACTGAACAACTGCAGCTTCAAGGTTCAAGGCGACCGATTGCCGTGGCGATCGCTCATGCTTGCACGTCGGGGCCGTCGACGCGCTCCGTCCGTCCGAGTTGCCGTGCGTGACTGGGCGAAAGGCTGGCAGTTATGCGTGCAACTGATGCTGCCCCTAGATTATTAAACGCTCGCCATCCCTACTTGTTACTGGCTCACTGGCGCGCGCGCGCTCCTTTTTCTTTTTCTTTCCTGCCTTCCTCGTCCTCAGCCGACGAACACTAAACCCGCTCGGCATAGAGCGCGCCTCCATTACCATTGCCAAATTCACTCGAAATCTCGGCCAACGAGTTGAATGTTCATCTCGAACGCATCCTAACGGGCACATGGGATCTTGGGATCTTGGACACCGGTACCAGACGCCCAATCACACGATCAACGCCATCAACGCCATCAACGCCATCAACGCAATCAACGCAGCGTGCAGGACACTCATCGCCACTACTGATTACGATCAATTAAGTTCATAAGTATAATCGTGCAGCTGCAACTCACATTATAGCAGCGTGCAACAAGGGGCATTCAATGAGAGCTTTGAGACTGCTCTGGCAGCCGCCCAGCGCAACAGATGAACGAGACCGAATCGGTCACAGGTCACATCGATCGCAGGAGAGCTCCGTTAACATATAAGTCAGCTAGCCAGCGGCGGCGACCAAGTCCACGCATACACGCTCAATGAATGCAAATCAAGCAGATCCGCGGAGAGCAGTTGGCTAACGAGTTGGGCGGATGGCCACTTACATACTTAGTAGCGCGTGCTTACACCAAGTTCGCGACCTCGAAAATAGAAAGAAAAAAGGTGGGTGGGTGGGGGGGGGGGGAGGGCTCATTGTAATAATCAAGCGATTCGCATGAGTATGTCCACCTCGCTCCTCGAGTCGCTCGAACACACACACACACACACACACACACACACACACATATATATATACATATATGTATAACTGATTGATACGCGACTTACTTATTGCGACTGCGAGCCGTTATGAAAAATGCCGTGGTCGTTGGTTCTTTCTTTTTGCGTCCAAGAGCTAATTACGATTGCGCGTGCAATCGAGCTGCGACGATTACGATGATTATCTTACTGCGAGCATGTTGCTCCACTGAATATATATACCGCCTAATCACGTCTCGCGCGGCGACCGCGCCGTCGCTAATTGTGTATCTACAATTTTGCGATTCTTTACGAGTTATAGTCAGGGAGTCCTGCCACTCTGGCGTTTCTCGCCCAATTAGCGGCCTCCATTTTCCCCATCAATTAAGTTCGTAAAGTCATCGTCTGCTTATAGATCCAAGCATTTCTTAACTGGCTGAATTTCGACGAAAAGCTCACCTCTTTCTTCGCTTGCAATCTACCGATTTTTTGTGCACATTCGTCTTGGTTCGATCCCTCCAGGCGTGGGAAGCGCGCAAGAGACCTTTTTTCTTTTGTTCTTTTTCTTTCAGGATAGCAATTCTAAAAAATATTTATATTTTAGAGTATGGAACGGTTTCCGAGTCTTTATTCATCAAGTTTTCAGACTATCTTGCCACGTCGAAAATTCGTAGAGCTCACTCGACTAGAAAATGACTGTTGCTACTTAGCATTTCGCCAATATAATTATAGTTTGAATAATTTTTTGTGCTTCAAAAAGTTTTCCTTATATTTTTCTTTATACAGTATTTTATTATATCTACATTGTATATACAAATATGAAAAATTTAATTTCTCAAAAATGTATGCTATACTTCGTAGCTGTCACACTAAGATTCGCGGCAAGGTCTCAAACACTAAGCAAGTAATAGTTTTTTGTAAATTCTATTTTTTTTAACATTAAATTGAAACATTTTTGCAAGCCCTATATATATCATCTTATAAGACAATAATTAAAGACCAAAACAATTGTTTTCATTGCAAAAAACAAATTGTTAATTCAAAATGAATGAATATGTGGCTAGGATTAAATACGTCCTAGTGTGATGGTTAAGGTTAGTGTCAAGTCTGACAGCTAAGGGTTTAAGAGAACTCTCACTTTTTAAATCTTTCTTTCTCTTACATGAATTGTTTGGAAAACTACAATTATAACTGAAGACATTGATTGAAACAAGTTAAAAAAGTATATTGATATAAATGAAAAATTGAAATGTCATTTTTGTTAGATGTAAAATTTGAGGCAAGAATTTGGAATTGACAACACTAGTTCAAGTATATCGTTTTTTATTTTTATTGTTTAATGTAATATTATAATATGTTCAATAACAACATTATAAACTATTTTATAAAAGTAAAAGTGATTCACATTAAAATTTTTCCTATGAATCACTGGTCAAAAGTTTACTATTATTTTCTTTCGACTCTTTATCTACAATTTTTAATATGTCAGGGCCATCAGCCAGAAGTTTGTCACCTTTTGTTTTTAATTTACGCCCAAGAATTCTCTGCTTCTCTTCCTCAATTTTCTTCAATTTTTCTTCATGTTTTATCACAGCATAGTCAATTTCTGAAACTAGTGCTTTTATCCTAACAAGATTTTCACGCTGCTTATCTATACGTCTCTTTTGATTTGAGCCAAAAGGAACTGGTCTACCATCTTTAAATGAATAATCTGGTAGATTTGTTAATGGTCCAAATGCATTTGGATTTATACATAATTTTCTTTCCATTCTCCATTTGACATCATGTGCAACTGGATTTAGATGGAAATTCCTAAGTGTTTGACAGCCAATGCTAATCACTTTAAACAAATTTACTTGTTTCAGAGCTGACATGTTTTCTGAAAATATAATTTAATAATGTTAATGCAGATTACTAGAAGTGAAACTTGTGAGTGTAATTTTATCAAATGAATTTTGAGCATGCTGTGATTTTGATGAATGATACTTGATAAACAGATTTTGAATCAATAAGTAAGAAAAATTAAACTAAGTTTTAATTACTTTTTGTTTTTGAATCTTTGTAACAAAATAATTATGAGTTCATTTTAAAAAACCAACTTACCAAGTTTACTAATCTCTTCTGTCCACTTTCAAATTCTCGTATGAATTAAACTGAAGAAATTCGATTTCATTATAACATTCTCACAGGTGTTTTCATTAATCACAGAGTGCAGACAAAAATTATTTCGATATACTATCATTCACGCATAAGAAAACTGTTTAGCAATATACCTAACCTAATATTACTCGTATTTTTCCGCATACAGCGCTAGTCAGAAGTGGCAATACAGGGATAAAAGAACTCACTAGATAGGCAGTCGACGAAAATTGACCTGGAACATTTTTAGAAAAACTACGCATGATTGGCAATTATAGTAAAACGCATTAAAAATTTCGCGAATTAAAATTTCTTTAATAAAAACATTCCAAAAGTTGAACTTTCCCAAATTAATATAGCACGAAATTGCGAATCTGCTTAGCTCTTTAATTCGGTTTTTATAGAAAAAATATGTTGAATCCTTAGCAAAAATCACGCGCAATTTCTCTATTCAATTAAAATATTATAACCATCTGTCATAAAGAAATAAATATTATTTCTCACGTATACCTGAAAGATTAGTATTGCGCTCTGAAATTAAAGGGTTGTACCTATAAGTACTGTTTATTTTTGAAATATCTAGCAATGTCAACAAAAAATAGCTAGTGTATAATAAGAGCTATACTGATAGAATATGGCTTATTTTTTGGATAACTAATAATTTTAAGTACTATAAAACGTATCTAGGTTGAAAAAATCCACTTTTAAGAAATAGTTAACATTGACGATTATTCCAAAAAGTAACCAAATTCCTATGAATTCATATCAGCGCTTTTTTAATTGTAAGGTACAATTCCTTATTTTAAGAAGGTATTATCACATCTCACAAGAGTGTATATTTATGTTACCGACTGGTCATTCAGGTGCGATCGCTGTAATAAATAAGAAATAATATTTATTATTTAACGGATGGTTACAATAACATTTTGCGGATTCATCCTAACTATTCAACAAATTTATTTTTATTGATTTAGGAGTGTTCAACTTTGGAAACTTTTTTCTAAATTGAGTGAAATTATTAATGTTTTTCTTTCCGTGCCACGTAGTTTTTCTATAATTTTTTCGGAGCGATGTTTGTCGATTTCACGCTGAGTTCCTTCGTCCGTAATACACAGTGATATACAGGCGCATCGCTAATCGCATATTCGCATTTTAAGTTGATTTTGATTAGCTGGTCTAGCCGCAGTTTAGTTTAGTTTAATTTAGTTTAGTAGATGGCGCTAGCTTTCTAGCCGAGATACCGGTAGGAATACGCAAACTCGATTTTTGTTATATATATATATATATATATATATATATATATATATATATATATATATATATATATATATATATATATATATATATATATATATATATATATTAGTTGTATTTATATATACCTAGGAGAGCCAAGCAGGGAAAGAAATGTTATTATGGGGAAGATGCTTGTGTAGGATAGTACAAGGGATAGCACATAGCAGTGAGTATCAGGCTTTTCACCTCGCGCTATACGAACATCTGGCAAGGAAAAATGTGGCATTCCTTATTGGCTCTTAACCCAGCCATGGAGTTTAAAAAATGTTAAACCACTGCGTTGATTAAACCAGCACATAAGTAAGGTGTATTCGTGATTTAAATAATTCAATTTTGCACCGTGCTTACAGCACTTGCTAGCGTTCGTGTCCTAATTTCACGGTACAAACTATCCCATCTTAAGTGACGGACTGGCGAACTATATGTGCTGATTTAAGAACGGCAGTGCTATAAAATGTACGATACTTGTAACTCAAGTATCCCATCGTTGCACGGCGTGTGCTCAGGTACTAATATCATGCCGTGCAATAATGGGCTACTTAAGTCACATGTATCGTAATAAACTATTATAATCTTGGCGAAGACGCATTCAAGTTACGCGCAGGTGGCACTCGATCCATAAATAAGTGGTGTACGACGAAACTGCACACACACACACACACACACTTACTAGTATTTAAAAAATTGATTTTATGATATGTAATCATAAATATTTAGCGTTACATATGTTTATATTTAATACATTTTTATAAAAAGCTATAGAATTCCAATCCAGAGCCCTCAGAAGGGCCCTTCTCAAGAAGCATTCGGATTAGTTTAACATAGTCATTTGGTTGTTTTTACGGAAGGAGTAGCATGAATCTTGTTGTGCCTACTTGTTGAAAAAAGTTACTGGTACACGCCAGCAAACGAACCCTAGAGATAGGATAGATTTTCGCATGAAAGACCGACGTTCTATCCACTTACACTAATTTTATCTTCCGTAGCTCTATCGGCAATTAAAGTTTAGCTTAGTTTTATTGGATATCGGTCGTTCTCTAACTGAGAGTTGATATGCCAATACGGAAGCATGATTTTCGTTACTACATATATTGCGGAGAATAAGGACCCTTTTCGAGAAACATTCAGACTACTCAAAGATGTATAATTGCTTCGACGGAAAGAGTGGCAGTAATTCTATAGTAGCCAGGGTGTCAACCTGAATCTGAATAGACCTACTGCTTAAGGTGAACTCCGAGCTACCGGAGCCGCTATGTTAATCTTGGCACATATACATTTTGAAAAAAATAGCCGCCGGAAATGGAACACCAGATTCATGCATGGGCTACCACGTTCCATCCACAAAGCCACCACGGCTCTCACGATCTGCAATTCAGACAAGCACGCATGCGCGAAAGCTCCACTTCAGAGGAATCCTCTAAAATTCAAAATGAAAAGCGTACATTTTATTGCTTTGCAGAGATGTGAATATTACCTAGCGCCAATTTCACAATATTGTCCGATGTTTACATTGACAGTCATAAAAGCTTTCCGAAAGCAATGTTCAGAAAATTAGAGCTTTGAAGGGTTGATCGATAAGAAACATCGTCATGGGATTTGCAAAGATGAAAATGAACGCGAATATTAAAGGGATAGGAAGTTATCGAAAAAGTTGTTTTAAGAAACAAGCCGACAGAAAGCAGTGAATGCTTAATTGATTCAATGAGATGTTTGCGAGAGGAAATGAAAGGTTTGCCTTCAAGTCTGCAATCAAGACATTTTAGAGGAGAACAAGCAATGGGAAAATGAGTGAAAGCGAAAGGACTCACTCTGAAAGCGGTATTGGGCAGCGTGAGCAGTGCAGGGTAAATCCAGGAGGCCCCTGAGATAGGAGGAGGAAGAAGCGTTCCGGGCGAGCCTGGCACAGAGATAAAAATAAAAGGCGCATCTAATAGGATGCACGAGGAGGCATTATTCAAGGAAAGGTGTTGCAGCGAGAAGGAAATGGAAGAACACCGCGAAAGGCGAAAGCGACGGAGCAGGCGTGGAGCAGGCGTGGAGCAGGCGTGGAGCAGGCGCGGAGCAGGCGTGGAGCAGGCGCACAGGGGCGACTGGCTACGTGCGCGCGCGCTCGGGAGGATTGGGTGAGGCTCTGGGTCGCCGGTGTGCCGCGCGCAGGAAGGCTGGCTGCGCAGGCGCTCCGCGGCAATCGATGCTGGCTGGCTATAAAGCTCGAGGCTGCAAGTGGGCGCGAGCCAGTGTGTGGTCCTTGGCTGGCGAAGCTGTCATCGACGAGTCTCGCGAGCGGAGTGCATGGTGTCCGCGTCGAGGCACGGCGGGCGGGATCCTCGCGCGCCCGGCGAGATGAGACGCGGCCGGGCGTGAGCCTCCCATCGCCGAGAGCCGGAGCTGCTGCGACTGGCGCGGCGAGCGCTCGACGCCGACGCTCATCATGGACGGACTGGCTGTTGCTTGCGCACTCGTCGCCGCCGCGCTCTACTGCAACACCTTGTTCGCCGGCTTCGTCTACGACGACAGGTATCTGGCCCCGTGCCCCATCGATTTTCAGCGGCGCGCCGTCCGCCACCTACGAGCGGCCTCGGCTCTGCTCGGTGGCTGACAATTTGGCGACGCTGCGCCCAGCAGAGCCACCTTCTCGCTATGGATCGCTCGTGGATTACGGCTGCGCTCTCTTTTTATTCTCTTTTTATCGTCAACTAGTCAACTACGTCGCGGATTCCAGTGCACGATCGTGCCTTTCCGTTTCCGTGTGCGTGTGTGCCTGCAAGCGGGGGATGCTGCTCACGTATGCACTCGGCCGGTCTTCGCAGCATCCGCGCGCCTTCCAACTCCGGAACCGAGCAGCTTCGGTGCTGCGCATTTTCATAACGCTTTGGGTTATCTCGGAATTTGCGCGAATTTCAGCGGCTGCTATGTACGTCGTGTTTTATGAAAATCCAGCCGAGCAAAGTAATTTAACGAAATATTTGCGTCTGCTCGTACAAAAGTCAGCATAATATGGAGCTTCTCTTTCGCGAAAAAGTTCATCAACCCGTGTTTACGTATATTTAAAGTGTCGGTGTGCGTGTGTGTGCGCGCGCGAGCGAAAGAGATTAAAAAAGCCCGAGTCGGGGAAGCTCCAGTTGCGCGAGACGCGCGTTTTCTATTCACATAATTCCGGCGCTTTTGTGTGTAAAGGGCAAAAGAAAAGGGCCTCTCTTCTCTTCTCTTCTCTCCTCTCCTCTCCTCTCCTCTCCTCTCCTCTCCTCTCCTCTCCTCTCCTCTCCTCTCCTCTCCTCTCCTCTCCTCTCCTCTCCTCGCCACTCTTCTCTTCGCGCGGATTAGAACGCGCGCGAGCGGTCCACTGCAGCTCGTTTTTCATTTTAGTATATGAAATAACTCGGCTGTGAAATTCAACGCTTCATGCTCTGAGAATTTTTGCGCCGACCGATACTTGATGCTATGTGTCTGCGTATAATTTCCTCTTCGTGTATATGAGAATTTCGCAGGGAACCACAAAGTAACTTGAAAATACTTCTGGCACCTTTTCTAGTCTTTCAATGTCCTTCAATCGGTCGAAGAAAACAACGCCAATTTTCATGTTTTTCTTTAACTTTATAAAAAACGAAAGTCGATCATCCAATGACCTTAATTCAGTTACAATTTCGAATTCGTAAGGTTTGGCACACGATGAAAACCATATTTTGCTTCATTTCTGCTCAAAACCTCGACTCTTTTGGAACTTTGAAAACTGCAACAGTACATAAGAGCTCAAATTTAATGGAAATACAAAGCTGACTCGTTTTCAAAGCTTTGCAAGACTTGAAATGTTGGGCCAAAAATGAGAATGCTCTGTTCCTCGTATTTTCATCTACAGTAGCATTTCAATTTTAAATCGGAGTAACGTTATTTATGCTTTTCTTCGTTTTTTGTGAAATTTCCAAAAGCCACAAGAAAACCATAAAAAATTAGGTTTTTATTTTCATTTACGACAAAGGAGTTCGTTTTCGTCGGTTTAACGCCCCCGTGAGTCAGAATAAATAGGTGTCATGAGATAAGAGGCAAGTATTCTGAAACTTTTAATACAATGCACAGTGCCTGCATGTAACTCGAACATTCAAATAAACTATGTCGACATTTTTCCGTGGATTTTCTCATTTATACGGATCGCAAGAAAGTAACGTACGCACGCTCAGTCAGTTTCTTTGTCGACTGTCATAATTAAAGTTAGCCCGTCAATGTTTGCTGAAGAAGAATCATGCTTTGATTGAACGAGAGAAGGGTGATGTTAAATTCATTAATCGCGTTAATTTGGCACACTCGATTATGTATAACGTTCAGTGTCCTTGGAATTTCACGTAAATAATTCATTGATTTCGAAATTAAGCAACTGCATTGATATAAGCTGGTGTGAAACCTTGTAATCAGGGAAATTAATTACATTTTATATAAAGCACGCCTGCTTCGCACAAATCAAAGCAGACGACTCGTCAAGTTCCGATCTGTGTCATAACAGTCCAATTATTTTTCAATATCATCGTAGAGCGAGCGGGGGAGGGAGAGTAATAAGCAACACACGAGCGTGGTGGGGGGGGGGGGGGGGGGGGGAGTCAACTTTGCTTCGCGAGACAAAAATAACGAGGAATTGGATAAATTTTTTTTCGTGCACTGCTGAAATGTCCATTATTCCTGTATTCGCACTGCCACTTGATAGTTCAATAATACGAAAGCAATTTTGAGAAACAAACTTGACCATGTTCTGAATAAATTTTACATTGAACAGACTTTCTTATTGTATATCCCTTGTTCTTTTATAATTTGGTTGATTTCATGAGCGAGTGTTGCATCGAGAAGGAGTATTTATTGAAGAACGGGTGTGCTTGTTTGGTTTGGATAATGGCTGCATTACTTGATTAATTGATCGTCTAATACGCAGCCGCGATAATTAACAGGTTGATGCCAGATTGGTGTACTGCGCAAAAATCAATAACGACAGATAAATTATTCGCGCACTATAAATTTTAATGAACTTGGCCGCGTTGACCGACACATTTGCTATGATGCGTGAACGCTTATTTCTTGTTCAGCCGGTGCCCTGCGCGCTAATTAAAAAGTCTTCAACTGCGAAACTAACATTCGGTTTCATCGCATAATATTATATATATATCCCTATTGCGCTTTTTATATACTCTTTGTATCAAAGCTGGCTAACTTCTAAGTTCCGAGTCGAAGAAAATTCAATCAGTTCTGGGTTCTCACCGTTCGCGCGTTCAACAAGCTAGCTATCACGTGCAGCAGCAATACTAATCCCTAAACCAGTCGAACGACTATGCACAATCGGATAAGTTGTAAGTCACCTACTGTATGTTCTTGTGAAATATATTCCCAGTCGAGTACGCCAAAGGCACTCTGATATAGGCCAAGTTAAATCGACCAAATGCCTAATCGCTCGACTCGTTCGTTCGACCAATTCGTTCGGCTCTCGAATCCATAAAACGTGTTAGAAACAAGTTTGATGTAACATTTAAAAGTGTCTGTCAAGCATAAATAATTTAAGTCCGATATGTATTTTATATGGCCAATTCTACGGAAGCAGTGCATCAATTCCACTCGAATTTTTTCGAAGACTCAAATAGCGTTCAAACATAGTGGTCTTTAACAATTGCTTCATCATATTATTCTATGTAGTGTTATAGACCGGCGAAAGATTTGCTTTTTTAGAAGTCCTGACATCGATATCAACGAACACTTCACTTTAATGGGTTTCTCGTGGATTTTTGGAATTTAATAAAAGACTATAGGTGTCAATAAAGTCTAAGTTGAAATGTTGCCGATATTATTGAACTCTGAAAAACCTGGAAATACGTGCAATTTCGAACGAACGGGAATTTGCCTAGGATCGATCTTAAAAAAATAGATAGGCGCTTGTCGGCGCACATTTCTCTGATTTCCCTGATTTCTCTGTCCGAAACACGCAAGACAGCTGGAAAGAGCTAGCGGCCGTGGTAGAGCAGTTCGTCAGCCGTCAGCCGTCAGCTGCGCACACACGCGATACCTGTTGCTGCAAAGTCCCGTGCAGCGTGCAGCGTGCAGCGTGCAGCGTGCAGCGTGCAGCGTGCAGCGTGCCCCGTGACCCGCGCACGACGCGCGTGCGTCCTCGAGTCGTCTCGCACTTGGAACGCCGGTGCGGGCGAGCGGCCAGATCGCATTGATTTTCGGCGAAAAGCTACCGGGACGAGCAGTCGTAATTCACGCCTGCCCCTTGTCTAAAATGCGGCCGCGTTCTTCACCGCCTGCCGCGGTCGATACTCGCAGCTCGCCGACTGACTGTCCCGCTTCGCGCGTTCGATGATGCTTTGCAGGCGAGCGATACTGACGAACGGCGACCTGAAGCCGACGGCGCCGTGGACGAGGCTGCTGGAGAACGACTTCTGGGGCACGCCGCTGAGGGAGCCGGGCTCGCACCAGAGCTATCGGCCGCTGTGCGTGGCGACCTACCGCTTGAACTACCTGCTCGGCGGCCTCGAGCCGCTCGGCTACCACCTGGTGAACGTGCTGCTGCACGCGAGCTGCACGGCGCTCGTCGTGAGGATCGCGCGCAAGGTGAGCGCCCCCCGCCCCCCGTCCCTCCTCCCCGAGCAGGGCGGCCTCACGCAGCCGGGCTTGGAGCGCAGGTGCTGCCGGGCGAGCGACTGGCGCACGCGATCGCCGGGCTGCTGTTCGCCGTGCACCCGATCCACAGCGAGGCGGTGGCCGGCATCGTGGGCCGCGCCGACCTGCTGGCGTGCCTGCTCGCGGAGGGCGCCTTCCTGTCGTACGTGGCGCACCGCGAGCACGCCGGGCGCGGGCTCCACCTGGCGCTCAGCGTGGCGCTCTCGCTGCTGGCCACGCTGGCCAAGGAGACGGGCATCTCGGCGCTGGCGCTCTGCCTGCTGTGGGACTTCAGCCGCAGCGAGCTGGGCCTGGGGCGCGCGTCCTCCTCCACCGTGCTGGCCGGCAGCCTGGCCATGCTCACGCTCGGCCGGCTGCGGGTCGGCGCCGGCCGGCCGCCCGAGTTCGCCAGCGCCGACAACCCCGTGGCGCGCCACCCGTCGCGGCTCGCGCGCGGCCTCACCTTCCTGTACCTGCCCGCGGCGAGCCTGGGCATGCTGCTCTGCCCGTGCACGCTGAGCTTCGACTGGTCGATGAGCGCCGTGCCGCCGCTGGCCTCCCTCGGCGACCCGCGCAACCTGCAGTCGCTGCTGCTCTACGCCGGCCTGGCCGGGGCGCTCGCCTGGGCGCTGCGGGCGCTGCGCCGCGAGCGCCAGCCGCCGGACCCGCCGGCGGCCTGCTACAGCCTGCCGCGCTGCCCGGTGTGCGCGGGCCGGCGCACGGCCGGCTGCCACACCGACAACTGCCGCTACGCCAACAACAACAACGGGCCCGTGGCCGAGTGCCACTGCCCGAAGAAGAAGGCCGCGGCGCCGAGGGGCCTGCCCGTGCCCTCCAGTCTGCTCACCATCCTCGGCTTCCTCGTGCTGCCCTTCCTGCCCGCCAGCAACCTCTTCTTCTACGTCGGCTTCGTCATCGCCGAGCGGATTATGTATCTGCCGAGCATCGGTGCCTGCCTCGGCGTCGCCGCTGCCATTTCCGGCTCGTACAAGTTGGCCAGGAGGAAGGCCGCCACCAAGACTGCCAGGGCCATCCTCCTGCTCACCGGCTTCTTGCTCTGCTGCATGGCCGCCAAGACCATGAGTCGGAACGTCGACTGGTACAACGAGGAGAACCTCTACCGGTCGGCGCTCAGCATCAATCCACCGAAAGGTTGGTTGGTCCTCTCCTCGCTGTGTTCCAAACACATTCAAATCAATATTTACATTTGATTTCTTACGATACGCGAGTGACGGCATGGTTCGTCAAATTTATTAATTCCTCGGTGCGGTATGTAGTTCTCAAGCAAACCAAGAAAAAAGTCTAGGGAGTAATACAAAACCAACGAAAGAAATCGCGACCGAACATTTCAATCGATTCCGCGAATAGTCTGATATTTCACACACAGCTAAATGTTTATCGCTTTAATAAACTCTTATCGAACGAGACATCCTCTCGTTGATAAATCGTCGGCGTCGTAAATAAGCCGAAAATTGGACGTTTTCATTGAATCTTGGTGCTGTTGTTTCGTACGAGAAAGAAAAAGCTCGCTCATCGCCCAACAAATGATATTCGTGTAGATTTGCCTGCAAGTTGGCTCGCGACCGGCCGTGAAAGGAAAATCTGCCCGCGTCATTACTCAGGAGGGTGTGCGAGCGAGGCGTCGAGAGAAGAAAATTGGGGGAGACGACCCAATTAAGATTCGACTGTGCGTCGCTTATCTTATCCAACGGCTACATCGAAGAAATAAAGGGGGGTGAAAGAGGAGGAGGAGGAGGAGGAAGAAGAGGAGGAGGGGGAGGAGAGCTACAGAGACTTAATTAATATCGTGGCGTGGAAATAACTCGAAGCGATATGTTTTTTTCTTCTTCTCTGCTTCAGCCTACGGCAATTTGGGGAGTGTGTTGAGTGCTCAGGGTAGGACCGACGAAGCGGAGCTGGCTTTCATCGAGGCGCTTAGGCATCGACCGAACATGGCCGACGTTCACTACAATTTGTGAGTATAATATATGTTACCATTTTTTTCTTTTCGCTCTTGCGAGAGAAATGTTTTCCTTTTGCTCCCGGCTTGAAATAACGAGGGATTTTGTTTTTTTTTCTGTTTTTCTAGAGGAATTCTGCAACAAGGCAGGAAGAATTACGAGGAGGCGATTTTGAGCTATCAACGGGCTATACATTTTAGGCCTTCACTCGCACGTGAGTTGACGCGAAAGAAACCATTCAACTATTAATTTTCTCAATGAAACTAACTTTTCCAACTCAAGTATTTGCGTTGAACATATCTTCAGGTCATTCGTTACAATCAACAATTACTTGGCACGTCGTAGCACAGTAACAAAAAGCGTTCGTGCCTACCAAGCGCTTATGCAAAGTCTTTGCGAGTTCACATTCTTTCGTTTTTCTTTCAAATCATTTCAACTCAAGAGAGATTACCTGAATATTAACAGACCTATAATAATATTGTTATAGATATGTTCGAAAACAACGATGAAGGACGTAACGTCGCTACAATATTAGTACCGAAAGTAACCAAGTTACAAATCATTTTCCATTTTAACGAAAGAGAAAAGTAATGACTTTAAAAGAAACTGCAACGACGTTACTACCTGGCACCGCTAGTTATTTACTTGAGATCAAGAATATTGTTAATATTAATTAAGTTGAAATCTATTAAGCAACTGAAAGGTGAAGATAAGAACGAACGTAAAGCTAAGGTTTGTCTGCGTATTTTCACTTACCGAAGGAGCGCCATGATGAAAGTATTAGTAAGATTATTCTATACGAATGACTGGTAGAAAAACAATAGAGTTATAGATAACGCGAGACTGCTCGAACGTCACACTTTGGTAACAATGGCCAAAGTAAAATTGAGAGTTGCAGTCGTATATTTCATATATCAGCTTCCATAAGCTACGTTGAGTTTGAGTCGTCGATATTTCTAGCCACTATACGTATAAATCGTCTAGCCTTTATCGTCTCTCTGGCGACAACCGTTAGCACATTGCATTCCCATGGAGAATGAAGCGAACTCCATGCCGTTTCCACTATTTCTACTTGGACACGTCCACTATCAGATATTTTCTCTCGCAGCTTGTACATTATTAGCGGGTGATCCGGCTGCTTTAATAGGGGCATTATATCTACTCTAAAATGTGGCCTGACCATTTGCAGAGGCGTACGTGAATCTGGGCGCGACATTGGTATCAGTGGGTCGCGGCAGCGAGGCTGTTGCAGTACTGAAAGCCGGGGCGTCGATCGATGGCTCGGCATTGAAGGATCGCAAAGCACACGAGACCGCGCGAGTTCAAGCTCTCGTGCAACTTGGCTCTCTTTACGCCGAGCAAGGCAGACCTCACAAAGCTTTGGCTTCCTATCGGCAGGCACTGGAGATGCTTCCCGAAAATTATCCACCACAGGTGAGTTACAAGCTTCGCTCGCCTTATGCTTCTTTTCTCGGTGAAAATTAGTTGGCAATCGAGAAATCCAAATTCTCGGAAACTAGTTGGATCGAATCTAATGTGAGAATAGCAAAAATCAATAACTACATTTACGTTAGCTAAGATTCTGAAAATATCCAGTAAATTATTCGTTCATTTCCGTTCAAGTTTTTCAATGAAATAATTTTCCTTTCATAAAACAACTATTACAAGTATTTCCAACTCTATAATTATTATTATTACTTTATAGAAGCCACTAATGATATTGTTACACCCTCACACTCACACAGTAACAGACATAATTGGTATTTATGAAAGAATGAAGGAGAGGAGCAGTCGCTCCAGCCGAGATGATGACTAGTAATGACCTGCGACTTCCATTAGATTCGATCCGTCGATCTCTTTCTATTTATGGTAAACCAACGGATTACCAGGCAGTTTCTTACTTTTCTTGGATTCCATTTTATTTTATTTTATTTTTTTTCTTTTCATTTCGTCGTATCGACGATATCACATTGCTAACAGGTCGTTAGCCTGATTGAGTTTCGTTAATAAACTCCTGTTCTTGATTCTTTTAAAAATAGTAGATGTGTTTAATATTTTGTGAGTATGAGAGAGTAAGAAACCGTCTAGCAGCACGATCGACCAGCACATTAAAATATTTTTATCACAAGACAAACATGTTATTTTTAATAAATCTTGTCGCTATCGCAAAATAACCCACAATATCGGAAAATGGGGCATTAATAGATTTGTCTTTTTATGAGTTGCCTTAAATTTCTAATAACAGATGATTATACATGGGCCACTACGAATTTCTTTGCGCGTTATTCGGATCAATGCTTCTTCGTATTTCGCGTGATTTTCAAAAGCATTGCCTCTTGCTAGTGAAAGATTCGTATTTTTATCGAGACACATCTAATTCGCTTTTATCATGCGCAAGAAATGTTACTTATCGTGATGGTCGCTAAGGGGCAGTTCAGTAAGCTGAAACTGGCTTTGACTTTCAGTGTCTTCCAAGTTTACTATTGAGAAATATCAAATTAAAAGAAAAATAAAAATTGGTTAAACGAGCCAAGATTATTGGGCCAACAAACGTTTTTGATAGATATAATCTTTGTTGCAAGAAAAACTTAGGAAACATCGGAAGCGAGCATGATTGCGATTTTTGCCGCAATCAGAAGGCCTCGATTTTAAGGGTTTTATCATAGCCGCCAGAAATTTATAATAAGACATATCGTTAGTTGGTTTTCTGGCTGGATGTGTTGCAGTAACGTCCGCTATATGTCAAGCGACAGTCACTTGATCGTTTGTTTCCAAGACAAGTGGAAATGAAGTTACTGGCGCACGAAAAGTCGAAATGACATAGATGAACGAGCAAAAGCTAATGAAATTAGTAAGGTTCCGAGGAAAAAGGTACTCGTAGCAGAGGCCGCGACGCATTATCGTCGAAAAATGATAAATTTTGAAAGGAAACGACTTGGTCCGGTTTCATATGGAAAAGTCAAGACAGTCGTGTGTGCGCGTGTGTTTGCAGAGCGTGTACAATTTGCTGGGCGAGACGCTGTCGCAGCTACATCGGTACGGCGAGGCGGAAAAGTGGTTCCAGGCGAGTCTTGCCAGCCAGCCGGATCACGTGCCAGCGCACATTACTTACGGCAAGCTTCTCGCTCGTAACGTATGTACAGCGCGCGGATATCACGCGCCGAGGCTTTTGTCTGCGAGAGCCGCTAATTGAGAGAGTGTGCTTTTGATTGTTTGTTGCAGTCGAGTCGAATCACCGAGGCGGAAAAGTGGTTTCTGCGTGCTCGCAGACTTGCGCCTCAGGATCCTAGCGTTCATCATCATTATGGTAAAAGCTTGCTACATCTAATTGTTACTTTGCGCGAGTTTTCCCGACATTTCCAAGTATATCTCGCGCACTGCAAATATAGACAGAGCCAGCTGCTCGAATGCGATATTTGCAAAACTCGATATGAATTTCATTGAGAACACAGCTAATTAATCGCGTGCGCAGTAGCTTGCAGTTGCTCGTTTTCGATACTTGGACACGTCTGTCTCGTCTGGCTTGATTATTTTGGCCAAAAGGAAAGAAACGAGGACGAACCGTACGTATCTGGTTGAAGGTCTGTTCCTGAGCGCGCAAGGCCGCATGATGGACGCAGCCTCGGCGCACCTCGAGGCGGCGACGCTGTCGCATCGCGACTACGAGCTGGCGGTAGCCGCGGCGTCGGCGCTGCGCCGCGCCGGCCGCTGCGTCGAGGCGGAGTTCTGGTATCGCCACGCGCTGGGACTGAGGCCGTACGAGGCGCGCAGTCACGCCAATCTCGGCGCGATACTCCACCTGAACGGCAAGTACCGGCAGGCGGCCGCTGCCTACCGCGAGGCGCTGAGGCTGCAGCCCGGCGACGCCACGACCATCACCAATCTGCACAAGCTCGCCGCGCTGCTCGCTTAACGACCGCATTCCGCTGGCTACGCGACCGGGGCGCACGGCGACCACGGCAGCTCATCGCTGGACCTCTCGACGACCTCACCACCTCTTTTTTCATATTTTGATATAACGTACCTCGTACCTTTCATTAATCTCTCGGTAGATCTTTGTGCGCAAACGCTATTTCTAGCCTCTTTCTCCGATTGCGAGGCTCGCCTTTCGCCGCCGCACTTCCTTTTCTTTCCACTCGGCTGGAGTGTCGACGCCGATTCCAATTCATCCCATCCCCTGCAATATCCATTGCCATCCAGACTTTTCTTTTCCTGCTTTCTTTTCATTGCCGATCATCTATGCTACGACGAGCATCCGACTTTACGATATATATTTACCATTTTCTTTTCCCCAAACTTTCAAACTATACGGCTTTGTCCTTTATTCTCTTTCATAAATAATAAACCTTTCATCGCGGACATCGATAGTAACTTCAACTGACGCGTTGCGCGCCACGCTCATTTCGTCTTTCTTTCGTGTCGTAATATCTAATCGGAATGTGATTACTTGTAAGGAGGACTTGTTACAATTTCGCACTTTTCAATTTATCTATTTATTCTCTCCGTACGAAAATTGTAACAACTAAATATATGGCTTGTGCAATCATTCGGTAAGTTTCTATGTAACAAGTCAAGCGAATGACGATATTCTATCATTTATATATATATAGATATATATATATATATATCTAACACATATGTTGTCTTCCGATAAAAGCTTGCATTTTTATCTTCGTAGGAATATGTTAAAATGTGGTACGATGCGTTATATGAATACTCAAGCAGTCTGTTGAATTTTTACGAATATTTATGTACAATCACTTTATGTATTTTATTACACTTGACATTTTGTATCGATAATCTAATTTTTACAAGTTTCTAGTTGGTTGCAAAACAATCATTTGTTAATTGTCACACTGGTTAATAATCGATGCTTAGGTTTCTTCTTGTTGCCAAAACAAACGATGTTATTTATTGGGTAAGAACTTTTTGCGATTCGATATTTTAGATCAGTAAGGCATAATTGATGAACGTTCAGATTGTACAATAAACAAAAGAAGAAAAATAGTACGTAATTTTAAGTAGCACCTAAAAATTTGTTATATATTTACAACATAAGTATCGTGTAAGAATTTCGACTATCATTCATTGATATTTGCGAATAATGCCAATGAAAAAAACAATGCTTCTTTTTTAAAATAAATAAATGATCAAGAGTTGAATCCGACGATGATAATTAACTCGAAGTGAGATTGCGATATGATAAACGAAAAAAAAACATAACTTTACTGGCTTGCTACCAAAAGGATCAATTTTGTACATATACATAAGCGGCAAGAAAGCCGACTAATCATATTTTTTTCGCGATACTAAACAATTTTTTATATAACTGAATATACTTAGTCACAGATAGCGCAAATATGACAAAAAAAGGAAAAAAAAAACAATAAAAAATACAACACACGCACACACACGCGCGCGCGCGCGCACGCGTAATGAAACTATTTATCAACGATTCTTCGACCGACGAAACGAGTGAAAATGTGTAATTGTATTTTAAGGGTATGAACATTCGCTGCGACTCATGCTGAAGGATAAAAAATATTTCTATTTTAGCATACCGCTACTGTTTCTGTGTCTGAATCCTGTCGTTCTTCCTTTCGAAATTTGTACTGGAGACATGTACATATAAATAAGCGAATAAGAAAGAAAATGAAAATCTCATAATTGAAACATGTTCACCATCAATGCGAAAAGACTTATTGAAGATTGTAGAAAGAGGGTGAGAGGTGCTGACAATAAAAAATGAGTCCTTAAGCTGGATTTCGATTGTTTGTTTATTTAACTTCAAATTAGATATTACAACTTTGGTATAAAAACAAAGTAAATCACACTGCGTTATGAAAGAGATTACAAGTAAAATTGATCAATAATTTCAATAATTTTATTTGTTTTCTTTTGTCTTCTTGCTATTGCATATTTCATTATTACTTATTGGAGATCGGGCAAAATCAAGAAATCGAACATGCTTGGCAATGATTATACGTGAGAATTTTGCAACATGCATCATACGTTTTTTTCGTTGTTAGCATACTTAAAATAAATTATAATATACACGATTATACGAACATCAACAATTGTAAAAGACAAAGAATAGAAGTAAAATGATAAAAAGAGGTACAAAGATTAAAGAAATTGCTGCGATTTGTCGTTTCACGAAGCGGACTAAAATGAAAAAAAAATAAATAAATTAAAAAAAGTAAAAAAAGAATATATCCCACAACGAATGACAAAGAGACATGATTAATTACGCGGACACAAGCGACTTGCACGAGTTGTATTTTTGCCTTTTAGCTGTATAATCCACTCGTTTCCTCTTTTACTCTCACGAGCTCATATTAACTCATAGCTGTTGTTTCTGCCAGCTTATTTCATTATTATACAATTACAACATTTAAAAGCGACTGCAGGAAACGAGATCGATAAGCTTTGGTTTATCCAGTGCGTTCATACCTTTCTTTTGTTCCCATACACTCAGAGCAGATACTCACTGTGATATTATCATTTTCACGTTCCGTCATAATCCCCGCAAGAATACAAATTCGCGCGACAAGTCGCTTTAGCAAGGATGCGGTTACGTTTACAATCATTATGTATATTTATATATATTTATATCGTGAGTGTGGATTTCTTATTTTGTTTGCTTTATTTATTACTCCATTAATACGTAAGCCGAGTTGAACTCCCGCTAAAATCGCGCTCGTTCCACCTTTATTTTCTTTAAATTTAACACTAGACACGAAAAAACGGATCTTAGAGAATTAGGGGCAGTGTGTAATTGTGTGCACATGCATTATCTGCCTGTGATTTTGTTTATTTTAATAGCTTATACCACGTTCAATCGAATACGAGAGAGGATATTAGTTTGATTATCCGTTTAGATACGGTTTGGAAGCTTGATAATTGAGAAAAGTGCAATTATCGAATCAAAATAACACGACACGATATTATTTAAAAAATGCCGGTAATTACGTGCACGTGCTTGGTTTGTCTTTTACGGTCTGTATAATGTGGGCAGTGTTATAATATATGATAGTTTAGTTGTCATTATTTGGTCTTTTCCACGTTCAATTAAAAAGCGATGGCACACGAAGATTAAACGAACAATTTTACTTTTTATTTATATTTTTTTGCTCTTACGACACCTAGGAATATCATTGAAGAAGTTTATGTAGAGTTTGTTTTACGATGTGTATTTGCGTGTTTAATGCAGGCATGTCTTTTGTTTTGTTTTTAATTAGTTCATCATAAAAACGAAATCTATGAGGCTCGCGTATCGCTAATCGGATACACTCGGCTCGCGACCAATATCCGTCCGCCTTATACCTAACTACGTAGATTCATTAATAGATATACATAGTACTTGACCTACCGTCGGGTAATGTTTGCTTTCTCTTTATTTTACTTGGCTTTTCATAATCACCATCACTTATTTTCGTCGTAATTCTAATATACTCGGCGCACGTATCTCGAGCCCGTATTCTTGCACAACCTCTCGCGGTAAAAGTCGGTTTGTTCTGTCGCGCGCGCGCCCTTTGCCGCTTTCTTCGCCAATCACATTTGCTCCGGCCTTCCAGCCTGTCAACAAAGTCGCGCGCCAAATGATCATTAAACTCATGCCGCCTTAAATATTAAAGTCATCGATTCTCTTGGCTATGGCTATCACGGTAGCCCTCGCTTTATCCGCTTTTTCTTACATCGATTAGACTTCGCGTGTTTATTCGATCTACGTTTACTTGTTGCAATTACTTATTTAACTTTCGCTCGCATCTTTGCTTTGTGCTACGGAGTTGATAGATGTAACGAGGGCTTACGAGTTGTCATTAATTTAGCGTGTATTATAATATACGTGTATGTATGTGTTTATGCGTGTACGTGTTTATGTGTTAAGCTACTGCTTTTATTTATTACGGACATCGACAAGTGAAAAAAGTTGGCAGTTGAGGACAGTCCGGTGAAAGCTACAATCAGTTGTTTCGCCGATCGTTTTCAATCGTAGCACTCATTATCATCGTCGTCGTCCTCGTCGTCGTCGTCGTCGTCGTCGTCGTCGTCGTCGTCGTCGTCGTCGTCGTCGTCGTCGTCGTCGTCGTCGTCGTCGTCGTCGTCGTCGTCGTCGTCGTCGTCGTCGTCGTCGTCGTCGTCGTCGTCGTCGTCGTCGTCGTCGTCGTCGTCGTCGTCGTCGTCGTCGTCGTCGTCGTCGTCGTCGTCGTCGTCGTCGTCGTCGTCGTCGTCGTCGTCGTCGTCGTCGTCGTCGTCGTCGTCGTCGTCGTCGTCGTCGTCGTCGTCGTCGTCGTCGTCGTCTTCATCGTAACCGTCGTCGTCGTTATCTTTGTCCCGGTCGTTGCAGCGCCAACTTCTTACAGGTTACACTGCCACAGTATCGTAGGGTGTGAGGAGTCCTGAGTGGCTGCTAAAGGAGCTGTTTTGCTTGGCTGCTTCGTTTCTGCGAAAAGAAGATATCAAAGGCATACGATCAATAGATGTTCTTCTCCATCTTCTCCTTCTTAATTATCTCATTTATTTATCACTATATTCGATGACAGATCAACATTGATATTTGCAAGTGGAAGTGGCATTATTATTCTGATGTTTGCCGCCGTCGATGATTACAAAATAATCACAGGCATGCATCGTGACAATGATGTGCGTGAAAAAATATAAGATAATACAACATAGATTATGGCATGGTCGAGTAAAACCTAAAACAATTTCAAGCGTCATGCCTAAATTAAGAGACTGACGAATGAACAACAATGAAGCAGTGATGATACGTATGAAAAAATGAAAAAAAGGCAAAAGACATGTACATATGATATTTTTCCATTACGACTTACGTGAGTATGGTATGATATACGATGTATGTAGCGTCCGATGCTCGTTATTTTATTTATTTATTTATTTATGTTTTTCAAAGCAAAATTTTAGTAGCTCGTCTAAGCTTTGATTTACAGTAATACGCAAGTGGTGAATAATATATGTGGTCGAACAATTTAAAAGAGAACGTGAAAGTTTGTTATTGACAATGGATTAGTCACGTGACAAGTGATTAAAACGTTCCTTTTTCCACCATAAAAATATATTTTTCCATAGATAGTGAAAGAAGCAACGTATTTACTTTAATTCTCGTTAGTAGTTGGGTACTAACCTTTCGATGAGTTTACGCATCTCCTCCACAGTTTTCACATCCTTGCCATGAGGATTTCCTGTAATAGCAACAAAAACACATACCATATTGTCACAACGATACTACTATGGATATGTCGCATGCGCCCAATCTCTTTCCTGGAACAAAATTACTCTTTCCTTACTCTCCCACACATGCTGCGTATTCCCGACATGGACATTAGTACACTTTTTTCTTTTGACAATTCCAACATAAAATTTTGCTATTAAGACAGACAACCAAATGAAAAGAAACGAAAAAGAGATTGCAGCTAGGATCTATATCTAAAGATGCGATATTGTTGGTTTTTTACTCATTAGTCGACCAAGCAGTCTAATAATAGTTCATGCAAAACAAAAATAACAACAAATAATAGCTTTTCAAATAACGGCGGCTGTAAATATACTTTTTTAATATATCGATATAATATGAAAGTAACGATGTAAATACTGGTCGTATACCTACTTTTTAACCACAAATATTTTTCATAAAATCTTGATTTGCGTATTTCAATAGAGTGATAAAATAAAAAAAAATGAAAGCTAATTTTGATGGTATCGAAAGTTAAAAGTGCTATTTTCTTTGATGATATAATATTGAAGAAGTCAAGAAGTCGAGGTAAATTAATCCAGTAATATAAATCTTCAGAGTTGTTCAGTGCTTAACCACTTGGAAGGACAGTGAATTAATCAATTAAACTAAACGTGAACAAAAACAAAAAAAAAAAAAAAAACAAATAAAGTTATTATCCGAATGTTAAAATCTTCAAGGTGTTGAAGTTACACATCAAACCACTCCGACGTTAATAGATTACACTCGAGAATGGAATTCCGTCAAATCACAAAGTATAAAAACTCCATTCAAAATACCCGAAGGGGGAGTATCGTACGCCATGATTAAAAAATTGCATTCATCGAAATGAGAAAAAGCCGTCTGTAATTCAACCACCCAACTAACCTCCGTAATTGCGAATTAGTTGGTCGCGATCATCCTGATCGTTGATATCCGTACTCTCCTTACTGTCGTTGAAACTCGAGTTACTCTGGTCATGATTTCGGGGTGGCGGTGGTGGTGGTTCAGGCGAGCTTGAAACGGGCAAGTTTCTCAATGAGCCAACCGAGCGACGACCGACGGAATTCCGTGAACCATAGTGGTCGTACGGAGCACCATATTGACCGTATTGTGAACCATATTGATCGTCTTCAGTGCCACAATTTGCTGGATCGTCGTATTCCGGTGTGAATATGTTCGTGTTGCCACCTGTGCTTCCACCTTGTGATGGTACTCGTGAGTAACGCCCACCGTTGGCTTGTCGTGGCTGTAGTGAATTGTTTAATTAATTGACGATCAATATAAAATCATACTCCATAATTTCGAGATAGGATTCTCATTAATAGAAGAGAATTATAATACCCAAATAATTAACTCAAGCGAACTGCCTGAGTAGCTCATTGGACAAATTAAGATAAATTTGTGGATTTATTCTCAAATCAAGTCAGAAAATCATCGGAGCGTGAGAAAATATTTAATACGATTATTTTTTTAAATTAGTATGCAATAAAATATTTGTTAATGGCGCTCACAACCTATAGTTTATAAAAATCTACAGCTGTTTTTTGCAATGGCTCATAATAATTAAAGCATAAAATTAAAGCTATATTACTGCTCGTTTTATAATGACTTCATTTCAAAAAATGCAAACTTTTGTTATCTTGTTTATTAAAAATTTTTTGTATTAAAAAAAATGAACAGATCGTTAATAAACATAATAACTAACCATGCTTTGGGATCCAGATCGACTGTGCGCCGTGGATGCGTTGTTCGGATGGCCGACCGTAGGGCCCATAGTACCTGAGTGACCATTGACGGGATGTGGGAATGTCTGGAATTGCATTGCTTTGCTTGGGTCCATTTCTTCCCGGAAACCCAGCAAATGGAAAGTCGCGTACGGGCAGATCTCATCCTCCATACCTGCTTTAACGCGAAATAATTCGTATATTTAATCTATCTCTCGATTTATCATAAGTATTAATACTTATTATTTCGTATTTTATTGTTAATGTGAAATCGGTTAAAATGCTGGTATGAGTTAATGTACACTAAGCGTCTTTTTTTTGGCTGACAATCATGCAAAAAATAACATACAATTCCTACAATTCTATAAGCATGCGATCTCCATTTTTTCTCTTTTGTTTCAGACTTACGGGCTCTGCGTGTGGTAGCCTCATACTCGACGAGGATTATAATAACTCACTCTATTTCTGTTTGTTAGTTTCATTGGGTGAGGTAGAGATTGAGATTATTAAACGTTGTTTACTTATCTTTATTACAGTCGACTATATTATATTTTAATAAGCTTTTGCGTTTGTATGTTGTTGATTCAAAGATGTTTTTGACTACCTCTACTATACACAAGTTTTTTATGCAATATTTATTTTAAATGTCTACCTCCTGTCATGAACAACTACTAATTCATTTCCACGATTTTCTACGACGAAAATATACTGAGTCGTAATACATTTTATTGAAATTATTGTTCAATTTCTCAAGCTCAAAAGGAAAATTTGAATGAAAATATGTTTTAGTTAAAAACTTGTGTTCGAAAAATACAATTAATTTGAGCATGAGTACGACGCAGCATCTTATTATAAAAAAAATTTGTTTTTTTTGAGTCTACATTTTGATAAGAAAAATTCTGAATCGCTACCTCCACTCCAGTCATCACTCATACTTTTTCACCATCGCACCCTTCTCACACATCCACTGCCAATCATGAACAAACCTCGTTGTGATAGCTGTTCAATACTGCCATGTCCAGGTGGTGGTGGAGGGCATCGCTTGTTGGGTGCATAATGGCTCAGTTCTTCGTACATGTGCAGCCTCCTTGGATCCCAGGTCGCATGAAGATGACTTCTTACCGAGCCGTTCCTACCTGCTTTTCAACAATACACACACAGCTACAAACGATTTCATCCCTTTTGCTTTTTTACTGTACAAGTTATATGTCAGCGTCGTCAGCGTCTTGTTGTTGTAGTATTCCCGCGCCTTTTCCTGCATTTCTCGCACGCAACTTTCACTCGAACTACGTAAAGCGTTTGATTATAATACATTGAGGAGTTTTGGTAAATTGCAAATTTATTTTGATTATATTCATGAAAGTGATAGAAAAATTGACACGGACAAAGTTTAGGCATGCGGCTATATATACGATGTACATTAACTGGTTGATCTCCATATAGACATAACTGAAAGAAGGAGGGTTTGTCGAAGGGTCATAATATACAAAAGTGATAAATACAAACTGACAGTGCAAGGGAGAGGCATGAGAAAAATTATGAACAAAATATTGAATGAATGATGAATGGTAGCAACGTAAAAATTAGCGTCTGTAAAGCGTATGTCGAGTATAATATGGTCAATAAGATTTTCACATTGATATAAATAGGCAATAATAGTAATAGTGTTGGTGATTAAAGACATGCCGTAACAATTATTTACGTACGTTGAAGATCCAATAAGATTTTTGTTCAGTTTCGTTGTTGCTTTATACTTTCTGTAACTGTCGTTTTTCGAGAATTTCACTTACTTATCACTGTCCCTCGCTTGATGCGATCGCAAGTGTTGTAGTTCGAGCCTGGCACTGGTGGTAGTTTACGGTTGGGTGGTGCAATATAGCCTAGTTCGTCTCTCAAGTCTGGTCTTCTCTTATCTAAGGTTGCTCCGATTGGTCCAGTCTGTTGATATACTACATCATCTGGAAAGTGAATTAATTGATAAAAATATTGGAATGATACGTTAAAAAAATACAATATTTTATTTTAAATTTGAATTGTAGTTTCACATTTTTTTTCTTCGTATCTCAAATGCAATTTTTTATAAAAGCGTAACAAAAACGAGCATAGTGATACAAGAAAGAAATGTTGTTTAGGACTCTGTTTAGATATTCGTTCAGTACATTGGCCTTCGTAATATTTCTCATCAGAAGACGAAATGCCGCGAAGTCTGGTTTGTTCAGGGCCACGTGTACGTCTTGATAAAGCAACGCAGATGACGACGATACCGACGATGATCACCACAACAGTTGCCATTACTGGTACAATCACATTAGGTTCGAGCCAATTTGGAATCCACGGGAAAAGCTTCCTTACGTCGGCATCTTTTGTGATATCTTTTTCCATATCGCCAGAGCCACCACTTAGAATTGGCGGCGCGATAGTACCTATATACGAGAGAGAATTGTAAAGTAATTTTGATTTTACGCACCTTTCTCGTCGTCGTGACCTTTCCCCTTGAGGACGCAGATCACGATGACGGCCACAATTATGACGAGAACCGCCGCAACGACGGGCACCACCAGATTAAGGTTGGCCATGAATATTTTCATCGGGTCGTCGCTGCTGTCCGGAAGTTCGCGGGCCGGCGCAATGGTGCCTAGAACATATGCCCGCGAATAGTACTTGGCTGATTTCTTAATCTTTGCTTTTTGGTTCTTTAAAAACTTATGCTTTTTTGACTTGGAAGTGCTTGATATTCAATGTCCTTTCTTTCACAAGATAATAGCTTTTTCATTTTTTTATTCCTATCTTAAAAGTTTAGGTATACTTAATAACGTTTTATATTTTATTTATAACAATAAATTATGATAAACTTGAAAATTATTTTCGAGCAAAGTTAAATATTTTTTATGACTATATGTTTACATTATAAATGTACATCATAATTCGAATAACTTTTTCTATTTTTTACGCTAGAGATTTATTTGCGTTTTATTGCTATGTAAATGTAAATATATAAAAGAATTTATTGATAAAATAATTCATATAATTTATGTCAAAATTATTATGATATATACAATGCTATTTCAAATGTACAATCAAATGAAATACACGATAAAACTTTGAATGCTTTGTAAGAAAATAGCAATTGATCGATGATTCAATTTTATTAGCCATTGGCGATTAGTGAAGTGGAACATTGAATTTGAGACTTTCCAAGTCAAAGTGAATTTAATAGCTTGATAGCGTACAATGATTAACGGAAAGATACAAAAAGGGAGATTTTCGTTTGTTTATTTTGTACATGAGCCACCATTGACGCCGACCGTGCGATATCTATCGATATTTTTTTAATTCACTTACTTCCGGTGACAGTGAGAGTGGCAAATTCATACTCTGCTACAGCAAAGCCAGCATTATTGTGCGCTGTGACTCTAAGGTGGTACCAATTGGCTGGATCCAGATCCATTACCACAAAGTTACCGCCTGGCTTCACGCTGTTCGATACTTGAATCCATTCTTGAGTGTGTCTAATTGAAAAAAAAGATTCATTTTTATACATCCACGTTTTGTTTAGTAATTAACGAAAAAAAATGCTGTTACTTTTTCTTGTACTCGACCACGAAGTGGAGCATAGGACATCCACCGTCAGACCAAGCGTGAAGATGCAACGTGATACTCTTAGTAGATACTTCGATGAATCTCGCTGCCTCGGGAATTATGGGTTTCGAGCCCTTTGTGCGTGAGTTTAAGATATCTGACGGCTCTCCCATGCCGATCCTTTAAAAATAAATAATTGATTACCCATCTATCCACATATAAACGTTAAGTCTGAATTATCTGAAACTAACGTATTGTAGGCAGTGACGTAGAGCTGATATCGGGTACCGCACCACAGATTCTCCAAGGTGTATTTGGAAGCAGTGTGGCTTATCTGTACGGTTTCCCAGTCGCCGAATTCTGGTTTATAGTGAATGGTATAACCGTGAATCGGAGCAGTATCAGTCGCGTGAGGACGTAGCTTCATCGTCAATGAATTTGTAGTAGTAGCAGTTAAAGTCACTTGCGGCGAATGTGGTGGTGCTGCGATTACACACTCAGTTATTAGAAATTTGTAAAAATCAGTTACTGATACTTGAGTTTAGATGATATACCGTGAACGACGAGATTATGTGTAACGGTGTCATGACCGAAAGTATTCTCGACGTAGCATGAGTATTCCGCTGCATCGGCACGATCAACTTCTTTGATGAACAACGAGCCTTCCGGCAATTGACGCAAACGATCTGTAGGAGTCAGTTTAATTCCACGTACTTTCCAGGTTACTTCTGGAGCAGGTACACCGACAGCCAAACATGGTAGTTTCACGTCTTCTTTGTAAGTGGCTACGAATTTGTCGTCGAAAGATGCGATTTTTGCTGGCACTATGATTTGAAAATAAAAAAGTTACCAAGAGTTTGATGAACGGTAAATTTCAATAATTAACAAATCAAATCAATGAAAAATAGCTTACCACTAGCACTTGGAGCTAGAGTAACTATCTTTGACGGCTGACCTTCACCGATGTTTGTACTGGCCGTCACCCAAAAATCGTATTTGCGTTTCTCATCTAGTCCAGACATCTCGTGAGTCAATTGTGTAGGCGCTATCTTTTGGCTGATTGGTTGTTCGGTATTGTTGGCTCGTGTGTAAACTGTGTACTGCGATATTACTCCGTTCGGCTGTATCGGTGGTCGCCATGACACGAGAATTGAATCGGCAGACATTACTAGAGCTTTGATGGCTGTAGGTGCTTCGGGAGCTGCAATGGCAACGTAATTTTTTAAGTACTATTAATTTATTCTGAGAGAAAAATAATTAGAACTGAATCACACCATCTTGTTCGGTCTGGCAATGGATAGGAGCAGACTTGACACCGTCACCACCGGAAGTAAAAGCAAGGATTTGCATGCTGTAATTGGTGAACTTTTTCAGGCCGTGAAGAATAGTCTCACTGGATGAAGTAATTTTGGTATCTTTGGTATTTTCATCGTGCCATGATTCAGATGGTCCATAGATGATCTAAAATCACAGTGGACATATAGTAAATGTTTCCAGCAACTAAGTTTGCTACAGTTACTCAAAGAAAATCATTTGATAAAATAATCCCTTGACTCACCTTGTAACCAGTGATGACACCATTAGCAGCAGAAAGAGGCGGTGATGACCAGGTAACTCTGATAGTCTGGCTAGTTAATGTAGTGCAAGTAGTATCGTGAGGTGGTTGTTCAGGTACCCCTTCAGCAGTATGAGCACGTCGTTCTTCACTCATGGGACCCGAGCCAACTTTATTGAATGCCTGTACGACTACACTGTACTGAGTGTAAGTCTTGAGATTCATGATCTGCAAGTGATGTTCCTTGCCGTCTTCCTTAGAGAACTCGACGGTTTCGAACATGAAGGGTTTCTCCGATGTAGCTAAACGATAACCTACGTAATAGCCAAGAATCTCGCCGTTCCAGTCGTCGCGTGGTGGTGGCTTCCATGATACCTGATTAAATGAAGTAAAATGAGTATTTAGATTTTATTAAAACGTAATTAAAATTGAATTTCGCTTTTTAGCGCCAAGTTCAAACGATTCTATAAACAAGCGATACCTTAAGGGTATGTTGATCCAAAGCGTCAACACGAACATTACTTGGTGGACCAGAAGGTGCTTCTTCGGCTGTGATGATGGTCACAGTATCCGAAGGTTCCGATTTGCCAATCTCGTTTTCGGCCACAATTCTTATGTGGTATGTGGTGGCAGGTCTGAGATTGAAGACACCGGCAACGTTTTGCTGTGACACAGGTACGACCACTTTATCGATATCGGTTTCCCATGATCCCTTGCTAATCTTGTACTCGATAGTGTAACGCTTGATTGGGCTGTTACCGTCGTAGGGTGCTGCCCAAGAAAGCTGTACTGAACGGCCTGATTTATCCAAGACTTTCAATCCATAGGGCACTTCTGGCACCTCTGTAATTTCAAATTTTAGTTTAATTATAAACAATTTTTTTCGAAATATTAACTATGTGCACTATAATATTTTGTTATATGTCTAATAATTGCACCTTTTTTGAATTGGTCAGAATTTCTAATCTACAATAGTATTTTTACAACCAGGCTAACAAAATTTATTTGAAAAATATTGTTGATAAGATTTATTGAAGCACAACTTTCATGAAATTTCTAAGTCGGTTATAGGCTTTTACAAGAGCTTTTACTGACATCCGTAGCAGATTAGAGTATAAATAATATACTAGGTTATTTACACTAGTCACCGTAACCAATAAAGTGATTCTACACTGAGAATAAACCTCAAGTCTGTGTAAAAATATCTGATAGTGTAACCTGTTACTTTGGCGTGTTCAAATTACTAAAAAAAACTCAACACGTGAACAGAAAAAGATGAAAGCTTCTGAAAATATATATAATAAGCCGTGGTATATGGTTAAATAGCTTCAAGTTGCATGTATTAAAGTTTCGAATGTAAAATCTGTGAGTAGTTTTCAAATATTGAACGAATAATAATATCTTTAATAAAAACAAACCTTGAACGATCATATTGATGCTGGTATCGTCACTGCCAAAAGCATTTGTAGCAACGCAAGTGAACAGAGCAGAATCGCTTCTTTCAGTACGTTTAATGCTTAAGTCAGACTTGACACCGTTGTTGGAGATTTCCTCGCGAATGGTATACCGAGAGTCGCTCTTCGGGTCGAGTCGTTTGTTGTTCATGTTCCAGAGAATACCGATTGGTTTCTCACCCTGAGCTTCACATTGTAAAACAGCAGGTTCGCCACGACGAGCTGTTTGATTGCGCAGCTTTATGTCGAAGTGGGGTGGAGCTATAAAATACATATAAGTGAACAAAGCATGTTGAATTTTATTTGTATTCATGAATTATCGGATAAGTAATAAATTTTAAGAGCAGATTAAAATTCATATTTTTAATTAACTTATTTCAATAGATTTTTACAAGATTATAAACATTTGTAGCTTATCCACCTTGAACGGAAATCAGGATAACAGCAGAAAGTCCAGATCCAATGCCATTGACGGCTTCGCAAAGGTAGTAGCCCTCATTGGTCTTCTGAATGTTATTAATCATAAGGGTGCCATCCTCGACGCTAATGTCTGGATTACTCAGTTTCAAATCGGTGTAGTCGCCAGGCGCATCCCCTAAGATAAGCAAATGGCACTTTATTATAAACATTCTATTAACCATTTTTCTTTTTGTCAACTTACCAACAGCCTTCTTCCATGTAACTTGAGGCTTGGGAAAACCGTCGGCTTTGCACTCAACGCGCGCATCCGAGCCTTGAGCGAAAGCTTTGTCAGTAGGCTCGAGAATCCAACGCGGTGGTACTGCAGCATCATAGAAAATTAGTTAGAACCATCGCTACGTTCTCTTAAATGATTCTGATTTTTTTTGGCACTACTATGCACTGTTTTACGAGAGAGTTTTATATTAACTTTATCCAGGTGATGGTATGAGATTAAAGATTATTTGATTTTTCTTAATATGAAGTTTATTATTTTTTATACGTTCAGCGAAACGTGGATAAAGTGGAGCTTATATGCTTTACGGTTCGTCTGCTTTATGTTATTTTTTACATTTAATAATTAATAGAAGCGACTGTTTCATAAACGAACTATTTACTGCAACTATTGAACTTTGTTGGAGGTAGACGAATCGTAACTAATGTTTCGTCGCATGCAAATACGAAACAACTCTCTTGTAAAAACATTCGAAATGCTTCAGATACTACTTTTGTGATTATTTCTTTTCAGATCATAATTTCAAAGATTTTTCTAAAATTTATAAATATCATGAAATTGTTATAAGCATAAGTTCTTTCGTTAAAAGAAGTAATTTTAAGAATATTTTACTACAAATATAGATTCTTATATCACAATAATCTATTAACAAACTTAACAATTAAAAATGCTATGTCAATATTACTCTTTCTGCTAAAATGTATAATGAATAAAGATTTTTATTTGTTTTCTATAGCATTGACTAATTGAAAAATCATATCTGATGATAAGCAAACTACTATAACTTTTTTTCTTTTTCTAGATAAAAAGTAAAATATCAGTTTTTAAATGCTTCAATTTCGTGGTGCCTTATTGTCATTGATTTTTTTTTCAAAAAGTATAATACTTTTCCACGCTATATCTGAAGCATCGTCGTTTAAGCGTGATATATAATTATAGAGTGACTCGCATGGCTTGATAAATCGCAAAATATTACATGCATTTTAATGAATATATCGCGATCACGCGATCCACATGCCTGAAATCGCGCTCAAGCGACTACCATATATATGAACGTGCAGGATATCTAAATCTACATCTAGAAAAAAACGTAACGGGATGGATGGGATTATTGGGATTAAGAATTAAAAAATACTATAAGGATAGGGATATGAGAGACAGAGTGAGACAGAGACAGAGACGGAATGTTGTTGTTTCAAAGTGAATTGACTCCGCGCTGATGTATACCCAAGGGATCGCACGATGGAAGACAATTGAATCGCCGAAACTGAGATAAGCGTCACAATTAATAATAACAATAAGATAGAAGGGGTCACGGGGATAATCAGAACATTTGATGAAAATGTTTTGGCGCTCTACTGACAGGCAATATGACAAGCTCACATGATTTGAGATGCGCTGCTCGTTGATGCAAGCGACGAATGGATTTTGTCGACGAAGCGAACAGTATGGTGTTTTGTTGCTTTTTGGGAAGTTTCAACATTTTTTCCTGGTTCTCAAAAAATTCAACAGGTCTCGGATCAAACATAAGCCGGTTTTTCCAGCGCTTACACGACATTGAACTCAACCAAAACAAACATAACGGTCCAGCCGGAAGTAGAAGAAACAAATGGATAGATAATAGAAAAAGAAGAAGAAGTAGGTATAAGCAGTTAATTAACACCCGGATGGTTGCAGCAAAGAAGCAATATAGTTATATTCTAAAGCGCCGGTTACGTGTCGTCTAACCGTAAACCCTGAGAGTGGCGCGATGAGAGTCAGCGCCAACATAAGGGTTGCTTGCGGTACAAGTATATTTTCCGGCATGCCTCGGCTCGACCGGATCGATCAGCAGTATACTCGATCGTGGACCCAACCGAGTGATCCTTATACCCTCGAGAGCTTCCGTAAGTAATTGGTTCTCGTGGGTCCAGTTAAAACTTATCGGCTGATCACCAACCAACGTTGTACACACCAGTTGAGCCGTCTGCCCGGCGTATATCTGCTGATCGCCAAAGTCGAAAGGAGTGATCCGGGGATGTACTGCAACCGTCTCGTCACATTGTGATTTTCTTTCACTTTCTTCGAGGATTTTTGATTGATTTTTAGATGCCTTTTTTCATTTAACAACTTTTATTCGTGTACTGTTTAGTCATGAGATGTTGATTTCAGTGTGAAGTATAGGGACGAAAAAATTTCTTTTTTGAAAAGGGATTTGGTGACGAAAGGTTTCGTCGTGAAAAAAGTTTGGAAAATACATGATTTGACTCGTGGTCCCAAAAAACTAAAGACGAAATAAATTGTACTAAGACATTTATCAATTGGTGGTCAATTACTGCAAGTCACCAATACATAAAATAAAGGGATTCATTACTTTGCAGCCGAAAGCACAGTAGATGCTAATTATTATGCAAAGACTTTCCTCGAAATTATCTTTCAATGATTTTGTTCATAAGTTACATAATGGTGTCGAAACGATGCAAAAGCCATATTGAAAATTGGTGTTGTGATTAACGATTTTGCTCGGAGGATGTGTGTGAAAGTGATAATGACTATCAAGAAATTGTGATACAGACTTTGGCAATTTGCTTGAGATCGTTATCACAATGGTACGATGTAAATTATATAACCGAATGGATAAAGTTGTAAAAATATTTTGTTTTCGAATTTTAAGTAATAAAAAACATTGTTCATTTTAAATTCGCTAATTATTAAATTGGTTTGATCAATCAATTTCAAAATAGACGATGTCAAGTGTAAGGGCAATTGCATCGTCCGAAACTCGACCAGTTACCCGTACCATTAACCCTCAAATGTGCCCTGTGGCTAACCCGACCGGCGGAGCTTTCAGCAACGCACGCGTATTCGCCGGCATGCTCGCCTTTAGCCGATGTGATACTCAGCGTTGAGACTCTTTCACCCATCGAGGTAACCCTGATATCTTCCCCCGTTTCCAGGTGCCTGCCATTGAACAACCATCGCAAACTCAAAGGTGTATCACCCTTGATGACGGCACAGTGCACGAGTACAAGGTCACCTTGGTTGGTGCTTTCGTGGAACGTGAACGGTTGTAGGTGGGGCGCGACTGTAACACCGAAATTATTTAGAGTCAACTCGGATTGAAAGGAAAAACGACTGACAAAAAATAAAAATTGGAGACGGATTCTTTTTGCATGCTGCGAACGACGACGACGATTATGATGACGACGGTAATGAAATTTTGGACTGAGAAAATAATGAAAGAGAACCGTTGACAATGAGCTCAGCGGAAAGCTCGCGACGACCAGCGGCGTTTTCGGCGGTGCACGTGTAGGTACCAGCGTGTGTGGCTTCAACTGAGCCAATGCTCAGGATCGCGCCACGTTCACCCAAATCCAGAATTGAAACACCCGAGTGTGGAGAGATTGGCTGACCATTAAGAGTCCAACGAAGTTTTAATGGACGATCGCCTTCAACTACCGCGCACGGAGCTGTCACCACTTGGCCAGAATTCAGTGGACTATCGCCAAGAGAGAACGGTAGCAGCTTTGGTAGCACTGCAATTATTTTGTGATGGATTGTCAAGTAAAAGTCCCATCTACTGACTTTTTAAGCTCAGAAATTTTTAATATTCAAGTAGTAATGAACACTTTCAAAATAAACCAAGGATTATGGATAGCTACCCGCAGTGAAGTATTACGAAAATGTACAAAAGATATGTTAAAAGTTTCGTATATAAAATTAAAAAAATCATTTTGAACAAAAGCATAAATGAAGAAACAAAGTTACCTTTTTTTAACAACTAAATAAGAGGTATTAAGAAGAAATTTTTTACAAATAAAATATTTGTTCGAGGTTATTCTTCAAATTACACAACTTTACCTTCAGTTTTGAAAGACATCTTCATTTCTTATTTCGTCAATAAATGACAAATATGATATTGCATTATTGCAGAAATTTTGGTCACCAGTTCAAGTCAGTGTCAGTAGAAAAGACATTTACTTTAAAGTTAGCGTATACTCGATTGGAGTCAATTAAAAAGGTAACGTAGAGTACAGAGGACGTGATATTCGTCATAGGATTATCTACAGATGCACTAAATAGTCAAACTGTCAAATAATACCGTTGACGTCAAGTACGGCACTACGTGATGCCGAACCAGCGACGTTGGAAGCAATGCAGGTATATTCTCCAGCATGTTCTGCTTTGACACTTTCTATATTCAATTGTTTGCCGCGTTTTCCCGAGTCTGATATCACTATTCCTTCGTTATTCGCACTCATCGGTTGATTGCCAAACATCCATTGAATTTCTAGCGGAAGATCGCCTTTAGCGACGTTGCATATCACGGATGCACTGTCGCCAGCGTTGACTGGTTCATCACCAAAGGTAAACAGGCCGATTTGAGGAGCGACTATTTTCGAAAATCGGGAATACCAAGTGAATTTCATGAATACAGTTATCGTACGCAATCGACATTTTTTATGTGATGAATTGACTATATACTTCATCTATCACCTACACCAGCATTATTATATTTTATTCATACGCTTTGATCATTGTGTCATATAAGATTTTTATAGCATATGAAGAAAGGCACTTAGAGTGTAAAAATAAAGATGATAAAAGATTGGATGGAAAAAGGTATTTTGAAAATTGAGGTTTTGATACGATAACACAGAACATCCGTCTACTGTTAAAGGTGAATACCATTTACGTCAAGTATTGCTGATCGTGTAGTCGAGCCAGCATTATTGGAAGCAATACAAGTGTACTCTCCAACGTGTTCAGCTCTGACACTTTCAATATTCAACTGTTTCCCGCGTTTTCCTGAACTCGATACGATTACGCCTTCAAGTTTATCATCAATTGGGTGTTGGCCAAACATCCAGTTGATTTCTAGCGGGAAGTCACCTTTAGCAGCGGTACAAAGTACTGAGACCGTGTCACCCGCATTTACCGGTTCATCGCCAAAAGTGAAAACGCCGATTTGTGGAGCAACTGTATTATTCAAAATAGGGTATTACAAATAATGAATTAATCGATCTATAACATGAAAATTGTAAATATCCTGATAATTAGTAAGGCCGGCGAAGAGATATAAATATTTAGATGATTCTGAAGATTTC